GAAAATTAAAGAAGCAAACCTTCCACCGCACACTCATACGGGAACTACAAACTTTTCTGGCGACCATAGCCACTCATTAAGAGACCACCCATTATACAACTCAGAGTATGAAGCTGGCAATGATGTTTTATCTCCATCTTATAACAATGCAGCAAAAAAGACTTTTCGACAAACTGAACCGGGAGGAAATCATTCACACACTTTCACAACAAATCCAACAGGCTCGGGTGCAGATTATATGCCACCATTTGTGACTATATTCGCATGGTACCGCGTTCATTGAACGCGCTTGAGCCTAGAATTAAATCTTTAACTTTACATAAATGAGCTTGAAAGAAGTATTCGAACAACATCCATGGAGGTCATTTAAGAAGTTCAATGAAGCTGCAAAGAGTTGGGGATTTACTAACAGAGCTGAAGTGAAAAGGTTCTTTAACAAAAATGTTGTACATCAAACAAAAATAAACCCTTACGACTACTTTTTACCAATTTACTCCAACACTCCTGACGCATACCAATTTGACACTCTCATTCAAAGCAGAAAAGGAGGACATAAACCATTCCTCATCTTCATTAATGTTAACACTCGCAAAGCATATGCATATAATGAGAATAAAGGAACTCGTGAAGTGTTAAGAGTTTTACAAAAGTTTGTAGCAGAACATAGCCCAAGTACTTTAACATCAGACCAAGACAGTGCATACTCAGCAATGAAATCACAGATTTTCTCATTAAGCATAACATAACTCACTACACTACTGAAGACCATAACCATAACATACTCGGCATCATTAAACGCTTCATAAGAACGCTCAGAGATTTAAATCAAGAGCGAGACTTTACCGAAGAAACAATGAAACATTTTCTCGAAGTATATAATTCCTCAACACATTCTACAACAGGACATACACCAAATTCAATGACACAACAACAAGAAGAAAAGTATATACAAAAGAAACGAAGCCAAACACAAAATATCAGAAATTCAACACAATTTACCCTCATTCCTGGTACAAAAGTTCGTGTAGTTCTTGACGACAAACCGTTGACAAAGAAACGTTTAAGGTTAAGTAGAAACTTATTATATCGTAGACTCTACGCAAGGTAATGGATATCTTATAAAAGCTGCTGACGACTCTAGCGTTTTACCTCGTCACAAATTAGTTGAAAGTAGTAATGGCAAACTTGCTGAAACCATTGACGAAGCAAAGCGAGGAGTGGTTATTGAAATACTTGACTACATAAACGATGACACTTATAAAGTAAGATATGAAGGAGGTGTTGAAGATGTTATACCATCTAAGAACTTGAGAGAGTCAAGCCAACACATCTGGGACCATTAGAGCGGGAGTACTGGAAAGACAAAAATATGCCAGAAAGAATAAGAAAATTCTTCTAAACTTTTTCATTAGATGTAAATCAGACATGAACGAGAACAGTCATGATATCATTAATGGTACCATTTATTTTAACATAAAGACAAAGCAGGACGAAGTCCATGACCAAAAATATATTTTAGGTGAAGAGGTGAGATCTCACCCGTTTTTTCACCTCTTTTTTCACCCTCACGAATTTTCATGAATTTCCTTAAGATAGAAAAAATAAAGTTAGTTTTATTTTTATTTATTTTTTTATTTTGTATGTAAAGACAGTAATGTCAGTCGAAGCAAAAACATTCACTAACAAATCTAATGGCGAAACATTCACAAAAGGCACTTATAACGGTGTTGAAGTCTTACGTAGAGACAAGGATGGTTACATTAATGTAACAAATATGTGTCAGCAGTTTAGGAAAGACTTTAGAAAGTTGTTGGAAAATAAGTCCTGGGAAGAGTATTATAAGGCATTTTGTGAAGAATATAGCAACCGTCGGAATTCCGGCGGTTGCTTTTTATACAAAATTCATGCAGGAATTCCTGATGAAATCAAACAGGTTAGAGGAACGTATGTAGACCCAAGACTTATAAACTATATAGCAATGTGGGCTTCTCCAAAATATTGCATAGCAGTTGGAAAAATTATGGACTCCATAGACAAGAAAGTTCATGAGAAATTAGATGAAGAAGAACTCGAAGATACAGTAGAGAATGCTAAACCTTTGTTCGAACAAGAAGTTAGAAAAATGTGCGAAAAACAATTAGAACATGAACGTGAGATATGTTATGGTTATAGAGATTCTCCATACGAACTAGACCAATGGGAACAAGAAGATTTAAAGAGAGAATTTAGAGAATATGAACTCGCTAAGATAGCATTAGAAGCTGCAGAAAAGAAGTTAAAAGTTTGGGGTCGTTTTGTACAAAAATATTGTGAGTAAATGAACCATTTATTTTAACATAAAGACGCAAAGCGGCGGGGCATAGCCCATGACCAAAAATATATGTTTACGTTAATGTTTTTAGGTTATTCAATAATTAATTATTTTGAAGAACTGAAGGTGTCACTCGGTTAATTAACATCTCTGAAAAATGATGACAACATGACATCACATTTTGACGAAGTGCAAATCTTCACTTCGTGTCAAAATGCAAAAAAATAATGCTGAAAATGAAATATATTTTTGGTCAAAGCTTCCACGAGAGAAAAGATTCCCCATTCGCTAAGGATTCCAAAAATGAAAAAATCATTGATTTCGGCTGAGAAAAACAGCAAAACCCTTCTTCCACGGGAACAAAGAAATAAAGAAGAAATAAAGTAAATTTTTTATTTATTCACGTGGAAGATAGAGCACTTTTATGACACTTTTTATTCACGACAAACAAGACAAACAAAGAAAATAAGAAAATACGGCGCTGTCGCGGTTCGAACCACAGACCCTGACCCCTCCATAACACCACCTTAGACCACTGTGCTACGTAGCCTGTCGACATAAGATTTTATAAATTGCATATTTGACGTAAATTTATTTCCATCTAGCTTCCCACCGCATAAGATATTCATACGTGTTTGTAAGACATTCATTAAACTTCTTTTCTATTGCATCTAATCTTGCGTTATTTTTTTCAATAACTTGTCTGTATTCTTCATCATCTCCAGCAGTGTTTGGGTCTTCACGTTTAAAATATTCATTGTTAACCAATTTTTTATCTACAAATTTTATTAGTGTTTGATTCACTTCGTTATGATAACGGTCATATTCTTTCAATACGTAAGTGAAGACAAAATGCGTCGTACCTTCAATCTTAAAGCTTAAAGAACTTTCAACACAGTTTTGAGGGTCTGTCAGTGCGTCAATGAGATAGTATTCGAAGTCAGTCAATAATCTTTTTAAAGTCATTTCATACAGGATAAAATTTAATGTTGTGAAGAAATAGTGTTTATCTCAGAAAAAATAAAGTTAGTTTTATTTTTATTTATTTTTTTATTTTGTATGTAAAGACAGTAATGTCAACATCAGAGAACACAACAATTGCTATCGTTCATGAAGCCATAAATGAAGAATACGAGTACATACAGTATAACAAACAGTTACGTCTTATTCGTTCAGTCAAAGATGACATGTACCAAATGCAAAGTATTTTGAATGCTCTTCTTTCTACAAAGCAAGCATATCATTGGTTTGAAAACCAACAGGCAAAAGAACTTTTAGAAGAATTTCCTCATATGATTGCTTCCCTCGGAAAACCGAGGGAAGAGATTCCGTACGAAAATCGCAAGAATTTGGCTCCTGGTTTGAAAGGTTATTATGTTCATAGACTTTTAGTAAATGCTGTAGCAATGTGGGCTTCACCTCGTTATGCTTGTTATATTTTCATGATGTTAGATGAACTATATAAAGCAGAACGTGGAGAGATGGAAAAGAAACTTCAAGCAAAAGATGAAGTCATTGAATCCAAAGACAAAAGCATACAGAAAAGAATACCACGTTCAGTACCAAAAGGAAAGGAAAAAAGCTATAAGTATATGATTTACGCTGAAGAGTTGGAGAAAGAAGAAGATAGAGATATGGTTATGTTGCATTTAGTGAGAAGAAACAACAAGAGCTTTTATGACTTAGCTAAGATATATAAATCTGACAGAAACTGGTTCTATCGTGAAAACTTACCGATTTCAATGACACCGAATGAGCAAATAAAGGAAATTGTCAAAAATACTCTTCCTCAAACACACTATGACATCAAAGGTTGCACAATACTTACATTTAAAGAAGACTTAACATTACTGAAAGAAAAGATAACAGAATATTTCGACAACTTCAAAGAGGAAGAATGAAAACTTACCGATTTCAATGAAAAACATTAACTTTTTTTGACGAAGTGAAGATTTGCACTTTGTCAAAATTTAATGAAAAACATTAACGTAAACATTAACGATAAAATTTATTTCCTGGACTGTTGTCAAAATGTCATGTTGTCATCATTTTTAAAAGAAGTTAATTAACCTGGTAGCACATGGTGACGTGGTGACACTTTCAGTTATTCAAAAATATATTTTTGCTTAAATAACTTCAGGGTCAATTTCTTCAACCATTTCACTTCCTTCGTCAATGTCAATTGAAGCTTCTTCAACCTTTGGTAAGAATTTCTGTATAACATCTTTGTTCGTTATTGTCTTCAGAGATGAAGGATAATATTTCACATTTGTTTCACCCTTCTTATATTCTTTCTGTTCGGAAAGATTTAAAGCAATACTGAAGAAGTCAATATTAGAGTTCTTTATAACAGTATAATGAGTATCTTTGACATTCACGAAGAAACTCTTTTGTTTCAAAACTACTGCTAACTCTTGTGAAGTATAACGTTTGCGGTCAATGACGATAGCTAATGGTCTGACATACTGACCAAACTTAGATTCTTTCACAAACTTCTTGTTAAAGATAACATTAACTTTGAAGCACCATTGAACTCATTCTTGATGGCATTAGCGAGAGCATTGTATGAAAAGAACTTGCAATCTTGCATGTGTTTCATTAAAATAAAAATATTAAATTATTTTGAAAAATAACTTTAAAAAATCTAATCTAATTTTTTCAAAAAATATTTTTTTATTTCCTACTAAAGATGTATCGGAAGTTGTCTAAGTTAGAACACTCGGAAATAAAACAACTTCTTACAGAAGCTAACATAGAAGTAGCAAAGCATTACGCAACAAACAAAAAAGCACTCGCTGACATCCTCAATGACTATAATGGTGCAATAAGTTATGATAGAATTCATGAGTTCATAAAGCCGCAACGCGGCGAGGACGAAGTCCATGCAAGAGCATTTCCTTTAAATGACGTTGCTATTGACTTATATCATAGACGTTCAGTACCTCATGAAGTAAGAAGAGAAATGTTTGACATAACAAATGCAAACGTTGGTCATACTCGTAAAGCTCTTTCGCATGATGTTCGTCAAGAGATGTTTGACATAACAAATGCAAACGTTGGTGAAACACGAAAGAGAGACGACACACTGAAACAACAGAGAAGAGAGATGTTTAAGAGCGCTATAGAACAAGTTCGCAAAGCTAACGATGTCATTCGTTCCATTGACGACAAACCAAAAGAAGGTGAGAGATGGTTAAAGAAAGATGAAGAGAATAGGAAGAGAAATGTGAAGTCAGGCAATAGACTCATTGACTTTAACATCGAAGCTTTAGATGAACCAAACAGAGACTACTTACACAAACATTTCGGTAAGGTTTTCATGAGACTCTTAGAGAAGATTAAAATAAACTCACAACAGAGATGGATGGTATGTTATAAACTTGGTGGAAAGTATGAATGTTCTACGTTAAACCTCAATAATATTGGAACATTACTACATCAGCTCTTGAAGGAGAACTTTATATCAGAGATAGAAGCAAATGCTGCAGGTATTGTTGAAATGCACTATGACTTCTTCTTGACAAACATAAAGAATCTTACTGAAATAAAGATGTATGATTTAACTGAATATGAAGGCTTAACGATGTCAGATGTAAAGAAAGGAAACCAAGAAGCGACCATATAGAGATGAAAGCACACTGACAGAAAGACAGAAAAGATTATTGAACAGACTTAAACAAACAGGAGATAAACAAGATATAGATGACTTCTGGAATGAAATCCTTGGTGAAAAGAAGTTTTATAAGAAGAGAAGCGGTCAGTTCTGGAAGTATCTTTGCACATTACCTATAAATCTTGAACGCTACCAAATCTTCAATGAACTGAACAAAAGAACTGCAACACTTATGACAGAGACAATTGTTTCGTTTATGCTTGCATTCAGGCTGGAGTAAATGAAGAAACTATTGACCACATGAGAGAAGTCATTCGTGTTAGAGACTTTCCTCAAAGTAAAGTACAAGAAATTTCGATTCAACAGGTATAGCATTAATGTTACCATTGGTTATTTCAATGACTCAAGACATAATGAAATAAAGAGATACATACCAAAAGAATGTAAAACTGTTCGAACTATTGACTTACTTCTTGTTGAAGACCACTACATGCTAAACGAAAGATTACCAATGACAACATATTTCATTCGCAACTATATAGAAATCTTGAAGGAGTGTGGTGGAATGAACATTGAAAAACAGATGAAAATATATACAATGAGAGATGATAAATACATTGTTCGCATGGATAGAACTACACCGCTATGGGATGTTATGAAAACATTGTGGGAGTGCAAATATTTCGAACCTATTTCTTATGGAGAACTTTTCACATATACGACTGACTTATATAAACAGAACCTTGCACCATTTAAAGATTTGACATATGCTCCAAAGTATTGTGTACAACTGAAGAAGAAAGCAGAGTCAAAAGAAGTAAATAAAAATAAGTGCAAGTTCATTCCTGAGCATGTTTTCTTTGCTGACTTTGAGTGCAGTACCGATGGCTTTCATAAAGCTTTTAACATATGTTATGACAGTGAAGATGGTTCGGTGAGTGAAAGCATATGGGGTCAAAACTGTGCAACAGAATTTTTGGAGCGACTTCCTGACAAGAGTTTAATATATTTCCATAACCTCAGCTATGACATAAACTTCATCTTAAGACACATGACAGAAGTGAAAGGAACTCCCATCATTAAAGGTTCACGAACAATGCAAATAACTGGCTTATATAAAGGAAGGGCAATTATTATAAAAGACTCTTACAGTGTTATAAATAAGAAGCTTAAACTATTTCCTGCTATGTTTAACTTACAAACAGGACCGAAAGAAGTATTTCCATATAACTACTACAGCAGTGTTTTGTTAGCAAATGACAACAGAACTGGTGTCATTTATGAAGCATGTAAGTTTTGGATGAAACGTTCATGAAGAACATAGATTCCATCAAAGGTTGCAGAATAGATGAAAACCACTTCGACTTAGAAAAATATAGCACGTTTTACTGCAAACAAGATGTAAGAATTTTAAGAGAAGGTTTTGTAAAGTTCCGCAATGACTTATTGAAAGAGTTTGATTTAAACGTTTATGACTACGTTAGTATTTGTTCTATTGCTAACAAATTGTTTGAGAACAGAGTGTACTTCCCGAATGGAAATCTTTATGACCTCTCAAATAAACCAAGAGAATTTATTTCGAGATGCATTCAAGGTGGAAGATGTATGTTGTCAGATAACATTAAACAAAAGAGCAAAAAGAAACTCATTGCTGACTTCGACGCTGTTTCATTATATCCATCAGCTATAGCAAGACTTTATACTTTAGAAGGAATTCCAAAAGTATTGAAGGATGAGATGTTAAGCACAGAGTATCTCATGAGACATTTATTCGATGACGACCAAAAGGAACCCATTGGTGAAAAGTTTATGTCTGGCTTCTTTGTTCTCATTAAGATAACAGAGATTGGAATACATAGACACTTTCCTTTAATAGTTTGTGACCCTGAACTAAATCCAGAACTTAACGTTCCCAGAAGTTCAAACACTTGCTGTTTAATGTATGTTGACCATATAACATTACAAGACCTTATAAAATATCAAGGTGTCAAATGTGAAGTGTTGCAAGGATACTATTACGATGGAAACAGAGATATTAGAATAAGAGATGAAGTAAAGAAGTTGTTTGAGTTAAGGTTAAAGTATAAGAAAGAAGGAAATCCTTTGCAAGAAAATATAAAGCTCATTCTGAACAGTATTTATGGCAAAACTATTCTATCTCCTATTGAGTCAAAAATAACCATAGTAGATGACAAAGATGCTATAAGATATGCCATCAGAAACTACAACCATATAGTGAAGTTCGAAGGTTTGGATGGTTCAGATAAAACTATTTTCAAGCTAACGAAAAGCATTTGCAGACACTTTAACTTCTGTCCACTTGGTGTTAACATTCTGTCTATGTCAAAACGTATTATGAATGAAGTGTTTTGCACGATTGAAGACTTAGGATTAAAAGCATTTTATCAGGATACAGATTCGATGCACATTTACAATGAAGACATACCACGTTTAGCTCATGAATTTAAGAAGAGATATGGTAGAGAACTTATTGGTAAAAACCTTGGTCAGTTTCATAGTGACTTCGCAGAAATAACACCTGGAAAACAAAGTTTAGCATACAAGTCAATATTTTGTGGAAAGAAGACTTACATAGACTTACTCACTAACGATTTAAATGAAGTTGCATTTCACTGCAGAATGAAAGGCGTGAAGCAAGATGTTATTGCTTTAACCGCTAATGAAATGTTTCCTGAAGCTATACAATGCTATTACAATGAAGATAAAGGTTTAATGGTTCCGCAAGGAAAATTTGACAAAGACTCTGAGTTCAGTGTCATGAAACTTTATAAAGCACTTTATGACGGTCAAGAGATTGGATTTGACTTATGTAAGTCATGTCAACCTTGCTTTGAAGAGAAGTTTAACTTCTCAATAACGACTAAAACAAGCTTTATTCGTAAGTTGAAGTTCTGAGGTCATTTATTTTTGTCAGCAATGAGGTCATGAATGAGGTCAGCAATGAGGTCATTTATTTTTGTCAGCAATGAGGTCATTCATGATAAAAATAAGCCGCTAGCGGCAAGGGCGAAGCCCATGTGGTCATTTACAATACTGCGATGGTAGAGTTTAAGAGTTGTGCTTCAATGTAGAGACAGTCCTTATGGTCTGGAGGTAAGAACACTGGGCAGTTATGGTCATGAGTGGAGAACATGTCTATCCAAAACTCACGATTGAAGCCAGTTAATTTATAGTATTTAGGGTTAGGAAGTGGTGTAGTTCTTGTATGACCAATGAACTCATTTTCAGCTCCCTTACTTAAGTTTGAATATAATATAGCTTGCTTTCTATCCCAAATGCCAGGTGTTACAATCTTTGAAAATTCATTTTTCCTCGGAAGCATTGCATCATAATTGAAAACATTCTTGAAATCATCACTTGGTTCAGAGATTTGAAATCTTATACGTAATGGATTTTCTTTCTCTTTAGCTACTTCATTGAATGGTGAGAATACAACAAACTGACAGTCATGTGTTCCATCTTCATTTTCATTAAATTCATAATGAAAGTCTATAAGTTGTGGCTGACTACCTTCTTCTTTCAGTTGTGCAAGAAACTCACGTAAAGGCTGTAAAGTTTGTACTTCAATGTTAAACTTTTTCTCGAACATTTCATTAAATGAAATCATACATTGCAACAATGTTGTATCGTCTTTAAAGTATTTGTATATGTGAATGTTTTGGGCGCTTAAAGACTGTTCGTCATTTTCTATCTCGACTTGAAGTATAAAGTCAACTTTCCTAAATGCACGTGTTATATACATAGATGTTATGCCAATGTACTTCTCTTCATTTATGTTCACAATCCAGTCTGTTGGAAACTTAAACGTTACTCTGTTCCCCTTTATTTTGACGTCAGGGTTTTCACTACTGAACGCAACAGATAAAGGTATTTGTCTATACATTTAGTTCCAATAAAAATAAACCATTTACTCTTTCTTCACTTCAGCTTCTTTAGCTTTTGCTTCAGCTTCTTCTCTAGCTTTCTTCGCAGCAAACGTGGGTTCTTCTGTCTTCCAGCAGCTAATGCAGCTAGTTGTTTTTCACTAAGTTTTCTCTTTGGTCTCTCTGGCTTTTGTTCTTGTTTTTGTTCCTTCAGTTCGGATAAAATTTGCTCGCGAATTTCTTTCTTCAATGCTTCAACATCTATGACCCCTTGGGTCTTGTCCGTAGGACTTGTCTGAGTCATTTGACTGCAGATAAAAAACAAAATTAAAACTTTAACCGATGTAAAATGAGCTTGTCAAAATCAGAACGAGAGTCTATTATATTAAATGACGCCAGAGGAATACAACATCCTTTCTATTACGTAAGTCAGAGTAAAGATGGTAAAATATATGTAAGAAAAAGAAAGGTTCCATTAGCGAATGCAGAAAGCGACAACATTAAGGTGCATGGCAAGGGTGAAGTCCACGAAGCCCATATAAAACCTTCTGTTCAAACTGAGCCACCAAAAGAACCAGAAGAAAAGAAGCCAGATGTACTTTCAATAACGAACCAAGAGCTTATTGCAAAGTTCGTGAATTTCATTGAAAAACAAACCGAGTCAAAGAACCCTGACCCGCCAGTGAAAGAAGTTGAGACAAAAGAGAATGTACAGTTCATTGAAAATGTCAAGAAACAACTTCCACCACGAATGCCAAGAAGAAGAGTGAGAATAATGAAGTAAATAGATATTTTTATCTGAAGTAAATACATGCAGAACGAACAGCTAAACGAATTTACTCCAGCAGAGCATATTCATCAGATTCGCTCATATTTCGATATCATAGACAATGCAGTTCAAATTGGTGACACTAATAGAAAATATTCTGACGCAAAGATTCCATCACAACCTGGAACTGCTAAAGATAACACATGGGTAACATTCAATCTCTCACCTCCTGGTGAAAATATGTTGGACCTTTACAATACATTCATTACGTATAAAATGGAAGGTCAATTTATTGTAGATAAAGAAATTGGTTCAGGTTCCAATAAAACAAACCCACCAGGATTTTGGATTGGTTTCGATGACGCTTTCTATGCAGTTGCTGGATATCAAATCCTTGCAAATGGTCGTATCGTATATTCTCAAGACAACGCAAGAGAAGAAGCATATATAACTTCAAACTCACAAACTACCGAACAAATAAAGAAAGTAGATGTTTTCTCAAAGACTCGACATGAAGATGTATGGAGTCATTCGGGAACATGCAGAACAGGACAAATTGTTAGTGGTCCAATTACAGCAGGAAAATCATTTGATTTTAAGCTTCGTTTAAGAATTCCTGTTAGAAGATTTTCCATTAGAAGCTATTCGATTTATTCCAGCTTTTGCAGGAAACATTCAGCTTAAAGTAAAGTTCAGTAGCGACGCCTTACAATGCACATCTATATCTGTAAATGATATCATTGCTTTCAATCCAACTCTTAAAGTTGCATTTGCTTCAGATTCAAATCCACCGACAAATAAATTTGTTCCATGGAATGAACCATTCACTATGATAACGAAGGCAGTAGAAGCTAGTGGAACAGTTACTATTACAACTGTAACCCAGCAACTATTTCGAACAAAGATGGATTTTAATGAATGTTTCATTCATCCAAAGTCATTCTCTTTAGACCCTAACATTTATACAGAACTTGTAGAACATTATACAAACGAGGCTTTATGTTTTCCTGTTAAAGTTATGGATTGGATTCCTATGGACGGTTCATTCTCAAAGAATACAGATAGTTCAAGTGCAACATTTACAGCAGCTTATACGCCTATTAATGTTAAAAGTATTTGGGCACTATTTAGAAAGAAAGACAACTATTATGTTAATTTTGAGAACCCTAAGTTTAAATATCTTCAGCTTTCCATGGGAGCTTATGGAAATATGCCTGCAGAACCTGAAAAATCATATGGACCTGTATTTTATGAAATGGTTGCGAACGCTTGCAATACAAACAATGATATGATAGGATTTAATGAAGATGTTATGAGGTCATTGGTGGATGATGGTAGTGTGGAACATAAATGGGATAGCTATGACAACACACATTTCTTATGTGGTTTTCCAACAGAAGTGGACTTTTGCTTCCAGCAAGGTCAAACATCTACTGCTCCAATAACATACAAATTGTCTGTTAAAGGACCTATTGAACTAGCAACTGAAAACGTACCAAAGCCACTTATTGGATTTATGAGGGATTGTTGCTTTGCCATTCAGGTGCGTGCTAATGGCATCCCCATAATAAGATTAGATGACTATAACTTAGCTACGGACGACAGTGAGGAATAAAGGATGAACGTTTATTTTTAAAGCTTATAAATGAGTTCTTCATCAAGCTCTCGTGAACCTTCACCATCTATGAAACAAACTTTACCAAACGATTATGGAGCACCTATTGAATATTTCTTACGAGCTGCACAATGGCAAAGAGCAGTCTCACCAAGGTTAGGTGTTCCACCAGCTCCTGTCAAAAATAGCATTTGGTCAAGTCCTTATATAAATATGGTCTCCCACTAGGTTTGCTAGCTACAGCAGGAGCAGTTATGATGTTGAAAAGAAATAAAGCAAATGTTGTAAATAATACTGAAGTAGCTGAAGTTAAACAAACTCCGACACCTTCGCCAAAACCAACGCCTTCACAAAAAACCTTCAATGACTCCTGAACCTATGGAAGTACAAACTCCTGTTCAAAAGTCAACTCCTAAACCGACTCCAACATTTAAACCAGAACCTACTCCTCAAATAAATCGTAAAACTCCTGCGTTTCCTTACTGAAAAAATAACGTTATTTTTATTTAATATTAAAATTTTTATTTGATTGAAATGACAAATAAAGTCACTGAAGCAATGAAACAAAAGTTTTTGGTAGAATACATTAAATCAGGAACTATTCCAGAAGGTTTTTACATTCATACTATGAAGGATGGTAGAGTTCAGTTTAGAAAGATAAAGCAACCATTAGATAAAGAAGGAATTTTGAGAAAGATTAAACTTCATGAGGACAACATTGCTGAACTTAAGAAGAAGTTAGAAGAGTTGGAGAAAGGAAGAGAGTTATAAAGCAATGAATTCAACAGGGTGAAAAAAGAGGTGAGATCTCACCACTTCACCTAAATTTATTTTTGCGCTATGTTTTCATACGTGTGAGGGTGGTGATATCATTATTTTTAAGTTTATTTTTTTATTTTTTATTTTATTTTTATATTAAATGACAGAACAAAAGCAACTCATACAAATCAAAACATATAACAAACATACATTTAAACATTTATTCTTCCTTCCTGAGTATAACATATTCTTTACACTTCATCCTAGACCAATTGACTATACATTGACTGTGTATAAAGATTGTCATGGTAGTTTTATAAAAACTTATGATGATGAAGGTAAGTTAACAAGACTATGCATTTCAAAACTTGAGAAACTTTATGACTTCAAGTATGACTCCAATAGAGTTAACATTGACGATGATGATATAGAAGAAAATTTATGAGAACGTTTATTTTTTCATTAGTGAGTTCGTTAGTGAGGTGAAATGGTTGGCGGCTTTGTAAATATTTAAGGTTAAGTTAGTTTTTGCGTTCATGTTGTAAAATGTACGTTAACGGTTTTGTAAAGTGTCAAATTCACAAGTATTGGGTAAGGTGGAACGCAGTGCCACCATACCCAAGACTTGTATACTAACTAATTTTGAGAACCCTAAGTTTAAATATCTTCAGCTTTCCATGGGAGCTTATGGAAATATGCCTGCAGAACCCGAAAAATCATATGGACCTGTATTTTATGAAATGGTTGCGAACGCTTGCAATACAAACAATGATATGATAGGATTTAATGAAGATGTTATGAGGTCATTGGTGGATGATGGTAGTGTGGAACATAAATGGGATAGCTATGACAACACACATTTCTTATGTGGTTTTCCAACAGAAGTGGACTTTTGCTTCCAGCAAGGTCAAACATCTACTGCTCCAATAACATACAAATTGTCTGTTAAAGGACCTATTGAACTAGCAACTGAAAATGTACCAAAGCCACTTATTGGATTTATGAGGGATTGTTGCTTTGCCATTCAGGTGCGTGCTAATGGAATCCCCATAATAAGATTAGATGACTATAACTTAGCCGCGGACGACAGTGAGGAATAAAGGATGAACGTTTATTTTTAAAGCTTATAAATGAGTTCTTCATCAAGCTCTCGTGAACCTTCACCATCTATGAAACAAACTTTACCAAACGATTATGGAGCACCTATTGAATATTTCTTACGAGCTGCACAATGGCAAAGAGCAGTCTCACCAAGGTTAGGTGTTCCACCAGCTCCTGTCAAAAATAGCATTTGGTCAAGTCCTTATATAAGATATGGTCTCCCACTAGGTTTGCTAGCTACAGCAGGAGCAGTTATGATGTTGAAAAGAAATAAAGCAAATGTTGTAAATAATACTGAAGTAGCTGAAGTTAAACAAACTCCAACACCTTCGCCAAAACCAACGCCTTCACAAGCAAAACCTTCAATGACTCCTGAACCTATGGAAGTACAAACTCCTGTTCAAAAGTCAACTCCTAAACCGACTCCAACATTTAAACCAGAACCTACTCCTCAAATAAATCGTAAAACTCCTGCGTTTCCTTACTGAAAAAATAACGTTATTTTTATTTAATATTAAAATTTTTATTTGATTGAAATGACAAATAAAGTCACTGAAGCAATGAAACAAAAGTTTTTGGTAGAATACATTAAATCAGGAACTATTCCAGAAGGTTTTTACATTCATACTATGAAGGAACCATTAGATAGAGAAGGTATATTAAGGAAGATTAAACTTCATGAGGACAACATTGCTGAACTTAAGAAGAAGTTAGAAGAGTTGGAGAAAGGAAGAGAGTTATAAAGCAATGAATTCAACAGGGTAGAAAACCGGGTGAGAAAAGAGTTGAGATTTCACCTAAATTTATTTTTGTGCTATGTTTTCATACGTGTGAGGGTGGTGATATCATTAATTTTTAAGTTTATTTTTTATTTTATTTTTATATAAATGACGAAAACTATTGAGATAACAAACTACAACGGTCATGAGTTCAAGAATTTGTTCTTCGTTCCTCGTGAAAATACATTCTATCAGATACGAGGGAGAAAGGGTAAAGTTAGTTTGAGCGTTTATGACTACAAGCATAATGGAAAGTTTATACAAGCATATGATACAAACGGTAAGCGTGTTTCATTAGCTTTGTCAAAACTTACAGGTATAAACTATGACAGTGATTTTGACCTATATGAAGAAGAAAGTGAGTCAGAAGATTATGAGCTGTTATATGAAGCACAGCAATGGGAGGAGTTGCAATACTTTTGTAAGTGAGAACGTTTATTTTTTACATTAGTGAAGTCGTTTGTGAAAACGTTAGTGAAGTGGTTGGCGGCTTTGTAAATATTTAAGGTTAAGTTGGTGTTGTCGTTTATGTTGTAAAATATACGTTAACGGTTTCGTAAAGTGTTAAATTCACATATCATGGGTAAGGAGGCGCGCAGTGCCGCCGTACCCTTGATATTGTTGTAAACAGAAATTCATCAAAAGTGACACCTCAGAAAAGCTAAAATATTGAATTTTTGGAACTTTTGATAGAGCACGTTTTTAAATATTAATTAAAGTAAATGAATATTTTGTAAAGATTCTTTTTAATAAAAAAGTAAAATTTTGAAGAAGAACACAAAATCTTCTGAAAAATAATATCACATAAACTCATATTATTTTCTAATATATAACTATTTTATATAAAAATCAAATTCAATGATCTTAAAAGCGAAGGATAAACCTCAAAATTTACGAATATAATGAGTGGGAATATAATGCTTATCTATCATAAAACCATATGAAATATCAATTTTTGCTTTACGCCTAATTTTTGACGACAATTAGCAAAAAATGTTAAATGTTAACACTCAGTCCATTTGAATATGGAAAATAAAATTGACTTTGATTAAATGTTTTTATTTATCATGCAATTCTTCTTGCGACCAAAGATTTGAATAAAAGTTCAAAAAATAAGATAGCTTAAAAAATAATATACAGTAGTGTTTACTAATAGATGAATAGTATATAAATTCTATTAAAATGGATTTGATCCAAAAAAATATAAAACCAAAAATAATTGTTATAATTTAAATGAAGAAGTAATTTAAAACGTTTTTATTTATGATCAAATTTTATATATTAGAAAATAATATGAGTTTATGTGATATTATTTTTCAGAAGATTTCATTCTATATGCCTATGAAAAGTACTCTCAAAACTAACTTTTTCCTAATTATAATTAAATCTAGAATATTGTATTATGCTTAGTATTATTTCATTTTTCTCATTCAATTTAGAATTTACAAATGTCAAAAAATTGAGAGCTGTCACTTTTGATGAATTTCTGTTTATTACAATATGTATACTAACTTTCTTCGTTTTGAACGATTTTGTAATTTGATTTTGTTTTCGCATTTAACTTTGTTATGTATTGTATTGATTAGTGATACTATCCTATGTATTTCCAACTAGAATATAGTTGGCCAGACCATATTAGGACCATACATAGGATATGCATCAACTAATTTTAAACAAATTGTGAATTCCATTGAAGGCCATTCAATGGAATCAACAATTGGTTTAAGTGTTGCAGTAAGCAACACTACAATTAAGGGTGCACCCGTATGTACGTTTATTTGAGAGGAGGAGGATTACCCTCTCAATTTTGAGGGATTCGTTAGTTTATTTTCTCGATGAATATGCAATAAAATTTGATTTTTACCTTATCAATATACTTCATATAATATACACATGTTCATGTAAAAACTTTTTTCCAAAATCCTCAGGAATTAAGGGATTTTTGAATTTTAAGAATTTTTTTCGAATTTTTTCGAAAAAAAAATATTTTCAGAACAGCCTTAACGGCTAAGATTTAGGAACAATGTTAAGTATCAAAAAGAAAGGAGGTCTGATATAGACAACATATATCGTTGAAGGTTGAAAAAATCTCTAATATTTGAGCCCAAAATTTCAAATTTTAATTTTTTGAAAAAAGAGGCCACCCGTATGTACGTTTATTTGAGAGGAGGAGGATTATATTTTTGAAAGGGTGAAACATTATGAATATGTTAATTATATAATAATATGTATTATTATAAAAAAGAAAAAATAAAGCACGTTAAAATTTTTCTTTCTTGATTTTTTACAAAATCTACTTAGAATTATGCAAAATATGACTAAATAATTATAAATTTCAAGTTAAATTTTAATTTTGATAAATAATTTAAATTTCAAAATATCAAGTTCAGTTCGACTATGTATGTAGTAATTCCTCAATAAAGTGCCAAAACCCTATTAAAATATATGAACATTTTCAACATTTTAATGTTTTTATTTAAAAATTTGATGGAATATGAGCTTCAAACAATTATTATGTAAATAAAAATAATTAAATATATGTATTTATTCGTATTACAACCGTAGTAAGTCGATTCTTCCTTTCTTCTACTGAGTTTTGAATTTGATTTCGAATTGTAAAGAGATTCAAAGGGAAAATACTAGCGGATAAAAACTACCTCCATGAAAGGGTCATAATGGACTCAAGTTGTATTTTTTGATATTTTTTGCTTTTCGAGCCTAAATAGGTAGCCAAGATAATGCCTAAAAATAAGGTTCTAAATTCTGAAGTTTACATGATCCTCTCGTGTGCACCCTTAAAGAAATGAAGTGTTTTAAAGAAGAATTGTTGTAAACAGAAATTCATCAAAAGTGACACCTCAGAAAAGCTAAAATATTGAATTTTTGGAACTTTTGATAGAGCACGTTTTTAAATATTAATTAAAGTAATTGTATATTTGTAAAGATTCTTTTTAATAAAAAATAAAATTTTGAAGAAGAACACAAAATCTTCTGAAAAATAATATCACATAAACTCATATTATTTTCTAATATATAACTATTTTATATAAAAATCAAATTCAATGATCTTAAAAGCGAAGGATAAACCTCAAAATTTACGAATATAATGAGTGGGAATATAATGCTTATCTATCATAAAACCATATGAAATATCAATTTTTGCTTTACTCCTATTCCCACTCATTATATTCGTAAATTTTGAGGTTTATTCTTCGCTTTTAAGATCATTGAATTTGATTTTTATATAAAATAGTTATATATTAGAAAATAATATGAGTTTATGTGATATTCTTTTTCAGAAGATTTCATTCTATATGCCTATGAAAAGTACTCTCAAAACTAACTTTTCCTAATTATAATTAAATCTAGAATATTGTATTATGCTTAGTATTATTTCATTTTTCTCATTCAATTTAGAATTTACAAATGTCAAAAAATTGAGAGCTGTCACTTTTGATGAATTTCTGTTTATTACAGAATAAATATGATTTTATTCATTAAAATTGAAAGGATAATAATTCAGAAATTTTGAAAGAAAGACGGCTTTTTTTAGTTGAGTGATCTGAAATATAATCAATAAATATTATCAAATTAAAATAAATAAGAGAATTATATAAAAATGCGTTTTTATTTTGAATAAGAATTCAAAAAATGGTTAAAAGTAAATTGTGGTTGAGTAGTGATCCAACTGCTCTACCTTAGAGTATTTCTCCTTTGATTAATCCTCCTCAGGTTATCCTCAGTCTATCCTCAGACTACTCCTCAGACTAGTCCTCAGATTATCCTCAGACTACTCCTCAGACTACTCCTCAGATTATCCTCAGACTAGTCCTCAGATTATCCTCAGACTACTCCTCAGACTACTCCTCAGACTACTCCTCAGATTATCCTCAGACTACTCCTCAGATTATCCTCAGACTACTCCTCAGATTATCCTCAGACTACTGCTCAGACTACTCCTCAGATTATCCTCGAACTACTCCTCAGATTATCCTCGAACTACTCCTCAGATTATCCTCGAACTACTCCTCAGATTATCCTCGAACTACTCCTCAGACTACTCCTCAGATTATCCTCAGACTACTGCTCAGACTACTCCTCAGATTATCCTCGAACTACTCCTCAGATTATCCTCAGACTACTCCTCAGATTATCCTCAGACTACTGCTCAGACTACTCCTCAGATTATCCTCAGACTACTGCTCAGACTACTCCTCAGATTATCCTCGAACTACTCCTCAGACTACTCCTCAGATTATCCTCAGACTACTGCTCAGACTACTCCTCAGATTATCCTCGAACTACTCCTCAGATTATCCTCAGACTAGTCCTCAGATTATCCTCAGACTATCCTCAGATTATTCTTAACACTTTGCATATAAATCTCTAAATAATTTCTTATAATACTTTCTTTTATTTTTATAAAAATTTTAAAAATTAATATTATTTTTTTCTCTTACTACTTTTAATGAGTGAAAAAGAGAAAGAGGGAAAAAAAGAGAAAAGAGAAAAAAAAAAAAAAAAAAAAAAAGGTAGTGGGGCTTCCAGGCACTTCGTGCCCTCTAGCCCCCCGTCACTTTTCTGTCACTTTTCAGGAAAAAACATTTTTATTATATATATAAAATGAATTTTACAAAACCACCGTTACCCTTCTTTGGAAATAAGAGTAGATGTAAAGATATTCTATTGAGAGAACTTAAGAAACTACCGAATGGTCTAACATTTGTAGATTTGTTCGGTGGAAGTTTCTATATATCCCATTTGTGCCATACTGTATTTCCTGACTCAAAGATTATATGCAATGACTTCGACAACTATATGAACCGTCTCAAACATATACCAGACACAAACAAAATATTGAAAGAGTTAAAAGAAAAGATACCTATAGGTAAGATGGAACGTATACCATTAGATAAGAAAGATATTGTGAGAGAGGTTTTGAAAAAGCAGAGTATATTGACTGGGATAGTATATCTGCTAGACTATTATATAGTGGTGCTATAAGAGTTCATGACATTGAAACACTTATGTCAAAAGTTTTATATCTTAACTATACAAATGTTTTCAAAGAGGACATAGAAAAATATATTGAGGGTATAGAGTTTGTGAGATGTCATTGGACAGAGTGTATGAAAAATATAAAGACAAGGAAAATGTTTTCTTTATAGTGGACCCGCCGTTCTATAACACATGGGATTTTCAATACCAAGTAGACTGGACTTTGAGAGACTCTTTAGAAACTTTAGACGTTTTACATAACCATCCATGCTTTTACTTTACATCCGATAAAAGTGGTTTGGAAAGTGTCATTGAGATGGTTAGAGGACATACATGACTATGATTTTAGATACGATAAGATAGAATATGAGAGAGGTCCTATAAACTGGAGAAAGTGTCATAACAAAGAAATTTTACTAGTAAGTAAATGTGGTTTGAAATAGGACTACTTGTTTTAGGTTTTTTCCATTGTGTCATTTACTTATTTGACGTGGCAGAAAGATATAGAGAATATGAAGATGAACCAATGCCTGCAAATGTTCAGCATATGTACTCGTAAGAGATATTTTTATCTAATATTAAATGGACGCACAGAACTTAGCGAATGCACAGCAACCTGGACAACCAAACCCAGAGAATATTCCAAATGAAGTTAGAATACAAACTGCAATGGCAAACTATGGTCAAGTGCCAACAGATGTACAAATGCAAAACTGCCATGTCAAATGACGCTGCGTTAGGTTTGCCACCATGGTATGCAAATATGAGATGGAAAGAGTTTTATACAAACCCCGAAGTGGGATATAAACAACTCTATGCAGATGACGCGAACACAGGAGTTGACCCAGAGTATGTTTTCTACCAGAGGAGAAATAGAATGTATGAGCTCCAGTTAAAGAATGCTATGGAACTCAGAAGGAAACGTAAGAGACTAGGTGGACATTAGATTTTTACATATAGTAAAATGGGTTTCTTCAGTAAGATAGGGAAACTTCTCTTCGAAATGTTGGAAGAGGTATATGGAATGGAATAAAAACCGTAGGAAGAGGAATTTGGAACGGAGTCAAAAATATTGGTAAAAGAGTAGGTCAGTTTGTGGTATTATACCTAAAGACCCTGAACCAGAAGAGCAAGCTCCTGTTATACAACAGCCTGAACCTGCACCACAGTCTAGTTGGCAACCAAATCCAACACCTCAACCGTATTAAAAAATTATATTTTTTACCGTTCGATAGTAGTTGTATATGAAACTAAGTTCTAAGTAAAACGCATGGTATAATGGAATTATTCTTTTTCTTCCATCTGTAGTAAACCATACTTGAAAGTCTGAAATACTTCCACTTGGTGGTTCGTAAACTTTGTAGGTTTTTCGTAAAAGTCATTTGCCAAGCATAAAAAAAGAGTTTTGTGCACCAGAAAATGAAGCATGAACTATAATAGCATCTGGGTCGAAAACATTTTCATATGTTCCATTAGGGTTTTCGACTTCATAAAAGTCTGGGTGTACTGGATATGCTGCAGGCTGATTAACATCCTCATAAATCTATACCATGCCAAGTTGTTATATTTTGTAGAAATATAAACGTTTTCTCCAAGGTCTTCTATTCTATTGATTTTAACAGTTGCATTTTTCCTGTCATATATAATATCGAGATGGTACTCTCCCTCGTCAATGTTATACTGGTTTGCATATTCGATATAGATGTCGTTTATTTTTTCTTGAAAAGCTTGAAGAGTTGTTTCTAAGTTTACAAGCAAATTCACTTGTAAAAGTTTTCCCTGTTCAAATTTCTCATACGTACGTTTTTCTTTGTTATAGTATCGAATTTCAAAAGCGACCGTAAATGGGAAACCATGTATGGCTTCTGAAATGAACTTCATTCTACGAAAGCCAATAGCTTTTGTGACGGATGGGTCTCTTAACCATCTTAGTGGGTAGTCAAAACGATAGCCTTCATGCTTTACGGTCTCTGTCTCAAACTTTTGACCGACATTGGTAAAAAGTTCATCTAATGGTTTAGTTGTAGCAACTCTAGAATTTTTCTTTTTCTATTGAAAGCATATTTTATCTAGAATAAAAATGTCGAAAGAAAACAGCGTCTATGAGAGAAATACAACACAACCGACAACTCATTTTGCAAGCTCTAAATAAGAACACAACAAACTTTTCAAAACTATTCTAAGATATCTGAGTCATTGAAAGAAGGAAACTTAAAACTGACGATAAACCCAATGACAGATGAGTTTCTGTTTCAAGACAGTAAGAACCATACTGTCTGTGTAAATCCAACAAAAGGAACTTTAAACGAGAAAACCTATAGATGAACTTCTTTTGAAAGCAGATGTTGGCAACAAAGCTGACAAAGAATATGTCATTGAAAAAGTTCAAGAAGAACATGACAGAGCAGATGCAACATATGCAACGAAAGCAGATGTTGACAACAAAGCTGACAAAGAGTATGTTCATTGAAAAAGTTCAAGAAGAACATGACAGAGCAGATGCAACATATGCAACAAAAGAACATACTCATCCTGAACTAGCGGACAAAACATATGTTGACAATAAAATGTCAAGTGAAGTGACAAGAGCTGAAAACGAATATTCTAAAAAGACTCATACACATACCATTGCAAATATTACAAACTTACAAGAAACCTTAAACAGGAAAAGTGACGTTGGACATACACATACCATTGCAAATATTACAAACTTACAAGAAACCTTAAACAGGAAAAGTGACGTTGGACATACACATACCATTGCAAATATTACAAACTTACAAGAAACCTTAAACAGGAAAAGTGACGTTGGACATACACATACCATTGCAAATATTACAAACTTACAAGAAACCTTAAACAGGAAAAGTGACGTTGGACATACACATACCATTGCAAATATTACAAAACTTACAAGAAACCTTAAACAGGAAAAGTGACGTTGGACATACACATACATCTTCTGAAATAACAGACTTAAACGTTAGCCTTGAAAATAAAGCAGATAAAACATATGTCAATGAAATATACCAAAGTTTGCTAGGAACAAAAAATATTGAAACTATTGTTGGTGACTTTTCTGTCAATGAAGAAAACAAATATTTTAGATGGCAGTTGGTACAGTCCTTAGAAAATGGTACACGGTATAAACTCATTCCGAAAAATAACAATGAAATGTATGTAAGCTATAAAAAGAACGATGGTACACAAGTTAAAGTTCCATTAGACAACAACTGCTACTTAAACTTATATGGAGACGAACAAAAGAAATATTTAAGAGTTTATGAAATGGCAGATATGACATTGCCTGACCCAGCTCCAGCACCATATTATTATGACTATGGAGATGACGTCAGAACACCACATGTAGATGAACAAAAGCTAACATTATATTTAGATTTTATAGATATAAAAGATATAATGCAATAGAAAAAACGAGAATAGTATACTATTATGAAGATGACAGAAATAAATATTATAGTCAAGACTTTACCTACCCTGAAAACATAAGATTATATTATAAAAAATATTCTGACATGAACCAGAAGAAACCTGAAATAGTTGCACTATATTTTAAGTTCAAAAGAGACAATCCTATAATATCTCATATGTTTGATTTAATGAACCCAGTAGGTTCTATTTATACATCTATGGAAGCAAGAGGTCCTCAAGTAATGTTTGGTGTTGGTGCATGGGAACAAATAGTCGACAGGTTTTTGTATTGTGCAAACTCTTCAAAGGAAACAGGTGGAAGTAAAACGATTTCAGGTGAAAATTTACCTGCACACAGTCACTACATAGATTTAAGTACATCTCAAGCAGGTTGGCATAAGCATAGATATTGGGATTGGTCAGGAATGACAAAAGGTAAAGGATATGATGTTAAAGACGACGTTAAGTTTGCTATAAATTGTTACTGGAGTGACACTCAGGGAGAAGGAAACCATACACATTTCGTTTCAGGTATACACAAACAACGGGACAAAGTAAAGACTACATGCCACCTTACATGACAGTTTACGCATGGTATAGAATTGCTTAGTCGTCATTTTCAACTTCTTTAGCATATTCGTCAGGAGTTGTCTTATATTTGTTAGGAACTGTCTTTGAAAGTATACCACCTTGAACTTTGACAAGTTTGAAACGAGGTCTGACAATAGTAGTTTTATCTTCTGCTTGCAGTCTGTACATTTTGCCATGTTTGCCTAAAACTTCATAATATTCTCTTGTATACTTTCTTCTATTTTTACGAACACGAATGTGAGTACCTGTCGAGTTCCCATTGTTGTCATAGTCAATAGTATTTTCATATGGGTCGCGTTTAGGTATTTCTATTTTTACTTTGTCACCTTTCTTAAGTTTGAAGCCTGGCATTCTTTCTTGTTTGTCTCTTTTGACTACTAAATTAAATATATAGTCTTTCTCTAAGTCAGGGTTGTTTTTCATTTCTTCGGGGGAGTGGTTTCCCAAACCTTTTTGTTTACGGTTATTGTAAATATTTAAAACTTGTCTCATCTTTGCCATGGAGAAGTGTCTATACTTGTCGTCATATGACATTTCATCTACCTCACCACCTTGTGGTTGGTTTAAGTCTCTTAAGATTTTTATACAACTGTCAATGACACCAAGAGCAGAATGGTTTTGGTCGACAATGAAATATTGGTTTACATTTTTTGAACGCAGATAGTTTTTAATATCGTCTGATTTGAAAGAACTTTCACAGTCAGATGTCAGTTTTGTTGGATGGTATTTGTCAACGAATATTGTCAAAGCAGTTTTCACATCTAAAATATTTTTGGACTGTAATGGTATGGCTTCACAGTATCTTGTGTTTTGACCGACAAATATTAGCCAGTATGGTGGTCCATCTTCTCTATACCTCGGAATGTTTTCCAAGATATCCATAAACCAAGCATTTGGTGTTGAACTAAAGATTTTTATCATGAGTGCTTTCTTTGTCGCTTTAGAAACATAGGGGTCCTTGTTTGGATTCGTCATTTTTATCCTATAAGAAATGGGTTTATTTGGCGCATTAGCAGGAGTTGCATCTAGATTTTTGCCCGCAGTGGGAACACTAGCCAGAGGTGCATTTGGAATTGGAAGGAAGATTTTGAGTACATTAGGTATACTGAAAGAGAAAGCACAACCTATTATACAAACTGTACAGAAAGGTTGGGAGGTAGCACGAGATGCAGCAAATCTTATTCCAAATCCTGAAACAAGAGGAAAAGTTCAAGGATGGATGGACAATGTAGGAAGACAAGCAGGAAACTACTATAACAAAGCAAATGACTACTATAACCAAGCAGGGCACTATATGGACCAAGGTGAAAGATTCTTTAACAGAGGATATAACCATGCACAACAGTGGGTAAACAACAACCAACCTCAACCACCTCAAACGTGGGGAATGTAAATTTTTTACTGAGATGAAATGAACAATACAGCATTGAGACAAATGGGTTCAAGATGGATTTGTCGGCTTCCAGCAGTTACACAACCACGTGTTTGTCAAGTTCTTCCTATACCTCAAGAAGTTTTAGACCGACTTAAAAAACCTAAACAACCAGTTGAAAACAAACCAAACTAAAATTTTTTACTGAGATGAAATGACCGAAGAAGTTGAAACGGTAGATTTGACACCACAAACAAAAAGTTCAGAACCATTGTCAAAACCTGTCAAAGAACTTACAGATGAAGAAAAAAATTCAATAATAGAAAGTGCCAGGTCTGGAAATACAAACCCTAACTACAAAGTCACTTTTCATAGAAATGGAACGGCAAGTATCTCAAAAAAGAAACAGACTCTCACAAATAAAATATTGAAGTCTGAAGGAGCTTTCGAGACAACAGATGGAAAAGTTTACTTCACTGACCAACAGTTCATTATAGAACATCTCATTGACTTAGAGTCAAAATATTCTAAACTTTACAACAAACACAAAAAGTTGAAAGGAAAACAAAAACAAATGGCATATGATATTTATGAAGATGTTGACGACACAACTGTTCCTGCAGGTGAAGTAAAGTCAGAGGAACCGAAAAGTGACGAAAAACCGATAGAAGAAGAAAAACCAAAAACTGAAGATAAACCAAAACCAAAGTTTAGTTTCCAAACTAAACCAAGTCAACCTTCATTAGCTGGTATGGGTTGGCGTCAAAGACTTATGGCAGCAGGCGGTTATGTTAAGTAAAGAAAAAAACATTTTTTTATTTTTATAAAAATGCCCCCATATAGAATGGATAGAAAATCTGCTAGAATAAAAGCAGAGTTGCAAAGATATGGTTGGAGAGTTTCGAAGAATTTTAAATATAGGAAGGGAAGACCCATAAAAGTCTATGACAAATTGTCTGGTCTTCGCTACGAAATGGATTTGGAAACAGCACGTGCCAATTATCCAAACAGATTAGAGAGGTTAGAAGAAGAACGTCTTATGGACATGCCTTTCGATGTTAGTGAACCTCAAGTTGAAGGACACGACGGCTTTGCCAGATTCTACTGGAAACATGACGAACAATTGCATCCTTTGAGAAGGAAAAAAGGAAAAGGTGAAGACGCACATGCTCCCATGGAAAGAACAAGATATGCATATGAGAAGTATCGTGAAGTTAGAAGTCAAATTACATCTGGTCGAACCTTTACAGTAAACTTTGACGAAGGAAAGAACAAAGAAGGCTTCATGGGTGTACTTGCTGCCATACAAGACGGAAATAAGAAAGGATACAATCTCAGATTGACCATAACAGATTTAGATGGTCATATTTACTATGCACATGGCAATGTCACAACAGCTGCAATGCTTCTTGACGCTTTCAAGACTACAAAGAGAGAACAAATGGTTGATTCCGACTCAGACATCCTGAATGCAATTGAAGGAATTGCAAGTGTAAAGTTTGAATGGTACCAACATAACCCTCAAGCAGTCAGACAACATGCTGGATACTTCCCGTTCATAAATAAGTCTGACATTGACTTGACAAGGTATGGAATTTACAATTCAATTGAAACAATTGTCAATGAACCTTGCATTCTTACATGTCTCAGGAACTCTGGTCTTGTTACAGATGAGAAGATGAAGTATCTTGAGTCATGTGTGAAGACAAGGTACATTCTCAGAGGTCAATTGGCAAAAATTGCACCGTTGGCAAATGTCAATATCCGAGTTAACATTCCGACTGAGAAAGGTTCTTCACATGACGACTATGTTGTTGAGTTCAATTTACCATGGTTGAAGATTGTAATTGTCCACAACCACTTCATGTTGAACGAAAGTCTTACAAACCCATTGTTCGGAAAAGGCAAGTGCAACATTGTCAGAGCTGTAAACATTCTTTTCGAGAAAGGTTTGTTGGAACCAATTCCAGATGACAAGCTGACAGAAACTTTTGTACCAAAAGACGAAACAAACTTTTCATTGTTAGCAAGACCAAAAGTTGTTCCAGACAAAGTTCTAGTACAAAAGAAGTACACAGTTCCACAAGGAGTTGGATTGTTCGGATACCAACCTGAACCAGAAGAACTTCCAATGAGGTTGCAAGAACTTCAAGATGCTATAAACAAACTTCCATTGAGACATCCAATTGACGTCAAATTGTATTGGAGAGCATCTGAGTTAGGTCAGAAGGTTTTATATGAAACAGGTTGCTTCGACGATGTTTATGAGATAACAGGAGAAGTTTCTCAGAAGATAAGAGACTCGCTTGAATTTCCACAAACTGGACCGATTGGTTGCGACAAGTTTGACTCATATGAAAAGATATACTATGTCGACCTTAACGCTGCGTACATGAGGTTTGTCCAATATATTCCAACTGGAATTCCAAACGAAGACGGTGAGTTCCCAGGAAGGAACTATACAGTTGGAAAAGTCATACAACAACTGTATGATATTAGGAAAGCTTCAAACCCCAAACTTGCAATGACACTCAAATTGCTTATGAATTCGACATGGGGATATTCCATTAAGAAACCTCAAGAGATGAAGAGTAAACATTATGAGAAGGTCGACAACTTTGTTGAAAGGTTTTCTCCTTTTGTTTTGAAGTACGAATTCACTCAAGGTCAAAGTGGCTTAGTAACCACATTAAAACCTATTGTCGAACATTGGTCTTACCCTCAGTTCGCAAAGGCAGTCCTTGACAACTACAACAAATTCTTCTCGGAAGTCAAATCCAAAGTGAAGGTTTACTATGAGAACATCGATGCACTCATGACGAACGAAGAAGGCTATAACAAACTCATTGAAATGGGCATGGTCGGTGAAAAGATGGGTCAATTCAAATTGGACAAAATTTTCACCGAAGTTCATGTAATATCGAAAAGGAAGTACTGGGGTGTTAAAGAAGATGGTGAAATAGTTAAACATTGCATGAAATAAAAAATTTTTATTCGAATTTGAATCGGACAGGTCGAGTTACACCATTCTTGGTCTCAAACTCATATATAACCTGTTTGTTTGTATTTTCGTCGACTATGGCACGAGACACAAACATTGACCAAACGGACAAAAAGTGTCATTTCAGATGGTCACGCAGCCAATCGCATTCGAGCACTTCGAAGAAGCCTTACGTTCCAAGGGAGAGGTGTCTGGTGCAAGGCAGAGGTCATGAAACTCTACGAGCAGTACATCCTCAATGCCTGGGAGGACAAATCGTCCTTGGATTGGCAATTCTACCAACTCCTCTGGGACGACCTCCTACGCAACTGGGATGACGAAAGAGTCCAATTCAGGGGTCAGGAACTACTTGTCCAAATTTCATTAATTTAAGCCGCTTACGCAACTAAACACCTAATTTACTTGGGGTTTCCCCTAAAATAAAAATTTTTTTACTCTTAGAACCACTCGAGGTTCTCCTTACGGTTGTTGAGCTTGTCACCGTCAATGTGTCTGACCTTCGTCTTCTTGCCTGGATTTGGAACCCATTGAATTGCGACAAGCTTGCCCATGGAGATTGAACCGCGATTCCGAAGGTTAAAGGTTCAAGTGTCCCAAGTTGTTGAGGACTGGGGTAAGAACCTTGCCTGTCTCCTTGTTGCGGATTTGGTATGGGTAGGGTTGGGAAATTTCGTAACCGTCATCGGCAACAAGGGTTGACCAAACTTCCTTTTCTTCGTGTTTCTCTTCTTCTTCTTCCTCTTCTTCCTCTTCTTCCTCGACAATTCCTTCTTCAATTTGGTGCTCACGAATTACGGTGTTGCATGTTCTGTCCTTTCCGAGTACCTTCCAGATGGCATCTATCTCTTCGAAGAAACGGTAGATGAGTCTGGCAAGGTCTCGGTTCTCTCTCGCGTAAATGCGCAAGGTTTCCGTCAAATCATTCAGGACTTTCTCATTGGAAGCTTGGTTCATGAGGAACTCACCTTTAAGTCCCTTCATCTCTTCCATAAGACTACTTTGGAGAGTCTTAACGGTGTTTGTCAGATGAGCTTTCAAAATTCAAAATTTGAATTTGAACTGGCGCTTGTCTGGCAACATTGAAAGGACATCTGCCATTGTGTTCGGCTTCGGTGCTTGTTCGGACATCGAAAAAAATGAAGTGGTTTGAGAATGGCGGTTTTACTTCAAAAAGCTTGTTATGACGGTTAAGTCATACAACAAGTTTAAAATAATATCTTGTTCTTCTTCTGAACGTTTGTTGTCTCTTCCGATAAAAGTTTCGAAATGAGAACCAAAAAACGTTTTTTGAGATTGTGGAAGAGTTCAGGCAAATTTTCATATTTGGATATGTTGGGAGCAGTTCAAAACATCTGAGCTGACTTTTCGGACAAAAATTGGGACAATGTCAGAAAAATTCATCTTTGGTCGGACTGCTTGAAGGTAAGTCCCTTACATGTAAGTAGCTCTGGTAAAGTCTTCTCATTTCTGCTAATTTTGGAGTATAGCTTCGTATTTAGAAGTTTTAATTTTAATTGTCTTATTCCACTCTTTACTTCTAAACGGTAAGTATCCATGAGGTCAAGAAGTAGCTTTGGTAGCTTTAAGTGGAGCTATCTGTTCCTTGACTTGTGCAATTTTGGTTGCAATTGTGGTTTGAGCTCCTTCAAGTTCGCCGTCTATGTCGTTCTCAACGCCTTCAACCATGGCTTGAAACTCTTCATCGGTCCATTGAGATTGGTGTGGGACGAATTTAACTTGCTTCATTCAAAAAATGAAAAAAAATGTTTTTACTCAAAACGTTAAGGTTGACTGAACTGGTTGGATGTCGCCTTCACAGGTTATGTAGAACGGCTGACCCGAGAAGTGAAGGAGAGACTGAATTGCCAATTTCATATGGGGTAGGGGGTTCTCCTTGTTTGGTATTTTTATCCAAGGACGTTTGTTTAGGAACTTAACAAGAGCTTCTCTTTTGGCGTCCTTTATGCCATCGTAGGCTGTCCCGTCTGGTATTTGAATTGGAATTCCAGTCGAAGTCTCGAGCTGAATGTAGACCTTCCAGAAATAGTGGTGAACTTGACCTTGGGCTTCATTACCCTGCGCAAGTACTGCTTAACAACTTCATTTATCTCTATAAGGTTAAATTGCCTCGTCAAATCCTTCTGGTATTCCGAGTCCTTCCATCCGACAGGAAAATATTTTCCCGACAACAGGAAGGACTCTTCCAGTGTCCGTCCGTAAACCATTCAAATTTTCGAAAATTGAGAACTTTTGGTCGAACTTCAGAAAAAGTTTTCCTTCCGAACAGGAAAAGGTTTTTCCTTCCGACAGGAAAGGTTTTTTCCTTCCGACAGGAAAGTTTTTCCTTCCGACAGGAAAGGTTTTTCCTTCCGACGGTTAAGCCACAAACAGATGTCCGACGTACCACCAACCGAGCCCATTCCCAAACCAGAGGAACCGAAAGCTGCAGAACCACAACAGTCTCCTCAGCAACCTCAGTTTCCAGGCAAGTCCCTCCACCAAATTACTACCAATTTCCACCTCAAGGTTACTACCTACCACAAGGCTTCCCGAACTACCCTCCTCCTCAGCCTATGCTTACTTCCCCAACCCTTGGATGTTTATGCAAAACCCTGCCCCACAATTCCAATCTCAATCCAAGAGAGACCAAGAGTTCGAAGAAGGTCTGAACCGCTTACGCAAAGATTATGCCACAGCCCCTATGGAAGACGACAGGCTTTCAGTCTCTTCCCTCAAATCGACCGATTCGACTCGTACCACAGATTCGGTTCGTGACCGTGAAGACTACCTCAAGCAGTCTGAGAGACTCTTCATCCTACAACCATTTACAGTTGGAGCTCTCAAGAACATTGCGCAATTACGAAGGTCAGACACCAGCTGGAGACCGTAAAACAGACGTACTCGCAAGAGCAGTCCAACTGGTCAAGACAAAGACCGAGATAGTTGACTTCATTCTTGCAGCTTGCCCTTACAAGTAAAAAAATAAATAATTACGAATTAAACTTTTTACTCTTTCTTTTCTGAGTTGTTTAGAGCTGGTTTCTCTTGTAGGAACCTTTCGTACTCTTCCATGGTCATGTAATTGCGAATTTTGTACGCAATTCCAGGTTCGTTGTTTTTGAACCTGATGTATGTAACGCTTCCATCCTCCTCGGGGAAGTAAGCTGCTAACATCTGACCAAGTTTTCTCGGTGACTCGGAGCTCATAAAAATGTCACTTTTTAAATGTTAAGTTTTTAGTCTTATTTTACCCTTTGTTACCCTTTGTTTGTCAAGGTAGTATTGGAGTGCAATTTCTCCAAATTCTCTGTGTCGGAGTTCTTCAGCATTTTCCAAGGTGTACCTGGAGAACTCAAAGAAGTTGTCAAGAAGATACTGCCATGCTGCTCTTCTGAGTTCGTCGGTATTTTGGAAGTGTTGCACCTTCGAGTCTTCTGACATGAAAAAAATGACACTTTTTCAGCAAAAATAATGTTTATGTTAGAATGTTAGATCTAACATGTTTTCTAACATGTTTTCTAACATGGTCTAAAACTCTTGAATTTTCATGAAATTTACACCAAAAATAAAAAATAAAGTTGGTTTTTTTAAAAAAATATTTTTTTATTTTTATTGTAAGAACATGTTAGCAACAACAGCACCAAACTCGTTAGTCATGAACCCAACTTCAATGTTAGTAGAGATGAAAAGCTTCATTCCTTCTTCATATACTTTCGAAACAGAAATCCAGAAGATAAAGCAAGAACTTTTAACAAATAATTTAGACTGTAGTGCGAAAGATGAAACAAATGAACAGTATCTTTATGAAATGCAGGACCTCATCGACCATTTACCCAAATTGCCTGAAATTCAGCAGCAAAAACTAACCATTCCCGAATTTGACGAAATAGAAGTCAAAGCAACTGACTCAGTAGAAATAAAGAAGTTCATACGAAAGGTAAATTATGAATTCCTTGGTTTTCATTGCAACCATAAGGTTATGGACAAAGATTGCGACATGGTATATAAGAACATCTCTGACCTTTACAAATCCGAAGAATTTAAGACCTACGACAACTTTGTTTCGTTAGTTGCTGAATGTGTATGGCAGATAAGAGATAAAGATAGAAGAGGCAAAGTATGGAACGAACAAATAAGACCCGCTATGTTTGAGTTAAAGAAAACCATTGACGCCTTAGTTGTTTTAGCAGGTAAGGTTTCAGAATATAACGCAAAAATGAACCCGCAATGTTCTAAATGTAAAGCAGCAATGAGGAAATATAACTACTCCGTCAAAGAGATAGAACGTATGAGAAACGACTATGCAGACTTAAAGAAAGAAGCAGAAAAGCCAGCAGAAGATAAAATGGACATGTTAGCATTTCTGAACAAAAACTATCCAACAGCAGACGATTTCCTTCTTTCAGATGTCAAGAAGAAGTATAAAGAAACTTTCGGTATCGTTAAAACTTTTGACATACTGACAGAAGAAATAGAAGCTACGAAATTGTTTAGAGTCATGAACCATCGCAACATATACCATGTAAAACGCTTGTAAATAGTTATGTTAGAAAACGTGTTAGAAAACATGTTAGATCTAACATGCTAACATAAACATTATTTTTACTGAATTCCGTATGAAATTTCATGAGTTTTGTGTGTTTTAGACCATGTTAGAAAACGTGTTAGAAAACATGTTAGATCTAACATTCTAACATAAACATTATTTTTGCTGAAAAATGACCAAATTTCATGAATTTCCTCATAAGATTGCTACCCTCGAAAAACCGAGGATAGAGATTCCGTATGAAAATCATGAAGAACAGCGAGTAGGGAAGAAACCCCAGTCGCCAAAACTCTATGAAAACAGTGAAAAATAACAGAGTATTTTGACAACTTCAAACAAGTAGGGTAAATGAACTCTTTATTTTTCAAGCTTGACTTTTTACAATTTGAACTTTGTTTGCGTAGATATGAATTCTGAAAGAAGTATGAGGGTCTTGTATGACTTTATACTTCTCCCATAGTTCATGTCTGTCAAACTTACCTGCCATGGACTCTTTCATAAGTTCCATGAAATCGTCTTCGGACAATCCAGGGAAAAGTATGTCAGTAAGTATTCTCTTTACATCCTTACTTAAACTCTTTGCTGTCTGTACACAAATGACAACTGAGATGTTAAAGTGTCTGAGCTTCTTAAGAATTCGACACATATCTTGTTCTCTGTTCTTTAACAAAGGATGAGAGGCGAAATCATCTAAGATAAGAAGACATCTATGAGGGTAAGTCTTCCAATCGTAAGATTGCAATTTCTTCGAAATGTATTCTATCTCTTTCTGTTTGTTTCTGAAGTGTTTCTTCTCTAATATTCTCTGCATTTCCTCATTTGGGTCTTTAAACTTCGAATTTATATACTCATTTATAGCATTGTACTTCAAAACTCTTCTTTGGTACTTCTTTATCCAATCTAACAACTCAGAGTCTTTTATACATACTAACTTAGACTTCTTTATAATATCTTTGAACGAATTGACGGTTTGGTCAAATTGACCAGAAGTACTACAAATGACAACTAACTCATAGAATGGGTTCTTCTCATCTAGTTCTTGTTGTTGTGCAGCCATTTTAAGATAAGTGAAAGTCTTACCCGACCCAGGTGGTGCAATTAGACCTGTTATACCATTCTGAGCAAATAAGAACTTGTCATGTATAGGTTTTATCTGAGCATTTTCTAACTTCCTCTTGTTCTTGTTTAAAACATTCTCAAATTTCTTGTCAATGTCAGCAAACTTTTTTTCTAACATATTTTTAGAAAAATTAAAATTTTTATCTTTTAGAAAATGTCTAGCGATTTCGCTATCTATATTCGAGACAAGCTTTTCGACAGCAAAACATCTGTCGACCATAAAATCTTACATAGTGTAAACAAGAAAGGTGAATTTGTTCTAAAGTTCTGTTTCTGGGAATATGACAAGAACCAAAACATTACAAAGAGCAGTCTTAAAATTTGTCAATGACAGACTTGTTGACAGAGATGACGCCGATTGGAAAGATGAAGTCCAACAAAAGTTCTTAGAATGCAAAGAAGACACATGCGCTGTTCTTGAAGATGAAATAGAAAACAGAATAGAAGAGCTATTAAAGGACAAAGAACTTTTACATAAATATGGTTCTGAGAAATTTGACATAACTCCACCAGAAAGAAGAAGAAGAGAGAAAGAAAAGAAAAGAAAGTAGAAGAAGAGAAGAAAGAACCTGAACCAGTTCCAGAGAAAAAGAAATTTGACATGTAAAAATAAAATTTTATTTTTAGAACATTTCTGGGTCAATGTCAATGTTCTCTTCCTCTTTAGGAGCAAACACTGGCTTAGACTCTAAAATCTTTTTACCCAATTTACCTTGAACTTCAACTATCTTAGACTCATAATATTCATAGTCGTCTGCTTTCTTTGGTTCATAAGGTATAACAAGTTTGTATGCTTTGCCTTCTTTAAGTTTGAGAACCTTCTGTCAAAATTTTCTTTGACTGCTAACAAACCTTCTATGTCTAAGTCTTCAAATTTCGCACCATTTTTAGTCACAATAGCAAACTTAACTGGTTCGATGTTCCAAACTTTGTCAAATGTAGACTTTTCAAAATGGTAGAAGTAAACATTCAAATATGCGAATGGAGTTCTTCTTTAAGTCTGTCATGTACTTATTTACTGAGATGAATTTCGTCATCTTTTCTATCGGATAAAAAAATATTTTTTTTAAAATTTACTCAGAAAAATTTTTCTTTGTATATACGCCATTCTGAACATCTAAAAGACTTTTGACATTTGCCAAGAATGTTCGTTTAGAGCTGCCATATAACCATATTCTTGACAATATTGTTTATATTCATCGTACAATGACCTTTCATCTAAACACAAAGTCAGTTTCATCTAAACAGTTCATATACACTCTTGTTTGCTTCTAACAATGTTTGTCTCTCTTCGGTATGTGGAATTTGTCTTGGATTGAACTTAGAAATATCTAATGTCATAAATATGAGAACAAGTGGTTGTAAAAGTCAGATGTCAAAGTTTCTGCTAAGTCGTCAAAATATTCTGTATCTTGCATATGAGAATCTGACGTTCTGACAACTACATATCTTCTGTCAGAACTTTCTAACTTCATCGGAACAGATTGTTTGAAACCATAATGAAGTTTGCAACATTTTCACAAACTCTTTGGTCTTTATATTTTCTTTCAACAACTCCAACTTTGTCTGTTATAAGACTCTTCAAAGCATCTGAGTTCAAAACTTTTGTTGTATCTATACTTTGAAGTTCGTTACATACTATAAGTTTCATATTCTCTATTGAGAGTTAAATTTACCGCAGATGTTTTCTAAGTTTGTCATATTCGGTTCGAATAGCCCTCTAACAGTTTGCAAAGATATCTGTAAAGAAGTGTTCTTACCAGTTCCTTGTTTTCCAATTATAATGAGAGCAGTTTCATTTTTAGCACTTGGATGTTGTAAGATGTTTGCAAACCAACATAAGATATACTCATAGACTCTTTCGTTTCCATTGCATATAATTTCTTTGACATGGTCTAACCAAGCTTCTATAATATTTTCTTTCCATTCTACTTGTTCGTATTTATATCCAGTGAAGATAGAATAGAAGTTTGGAGAAGGTGTATAGAACTTTATACCTCGAACTGAAAAATCTTCTAACTTTGACAATAAGATATCCCAAGCATCTAACATCTTCATCCAACTTGTACGACTTTTATTTTCTTAAGTTTCTGTCTACATTCTTGTTCTGAAACTATTGTTGCTCTTGGTTTGTTAAAGACAACATCCCATTCTTTCATGACATAACATTCTGGGGCAGAGTCGACATAAATGACTAAACGTTTCAAATTCTCGACTGCTTTGTTATAGTCTCTAAATGGACACATATTTCTGAATGCTTGGAAGTCATAAAAATCTGAAACATCTATTCTGTACATTTTTATAAAAATAAAAAAAAATATTTTTTTTATTCTTGACTTTGTTGTTGCATTTGTTGTTCTTGAGCTATTTGTTGTTGAAGTTGTTCTTGTAATACAATACTTTCACCAGTTGCATCTTCCAATTCGAAACTTTCTGCCGTCATTGACAAATACATAGGACATAAAAGTTTTACAGGAACAAAGTTTGCGTCAACTAATGTCAACGTTATACTTGCCAAAGTGTTTGAGTTCACTAAGGTTGAAAATTCTGCATTCGAATGAACAATAGGCAAACCAGCAGAGAAAGTATTGTTTATACGCATAAGTATCTTTTGGTCATAGTAGTTTCTGTCGACATTCGAATAGCACTTTGAACCTAAGTTTGAAACAATATATAAAATAGGTGTGCTTAAAGTCAATGGAACAGACATTCCTTGTATGACACCTTTTCCTGTTATAGGAAACTGTTGGTAGTAAAAACCAGATATAAGTTTTGTATTATAGCTCATATCGTTTATAGTAAACTCAGTCGGACATCCAAACATAATGAAACCTGCTCTAGTTGCAGCACATGTTACATCCGTCCTTAAAGTATTAAATAAGTCAACAAAACCTGTTGGTGGTATATCTGAGTAAGTATCTTCAAAGGAGTATTTTTTACCATTCACAACAATAAAGTCTTCTGGTGTCAAAAGAGCAAAACAGGCTTTAGTCGTCATTGTGTTTAAGGTTAGTTTACAATATCGTCCTTGAGGACTTTGTAAGTTTGTTGTTATAGAATTATATGACTCAGGGTTTTTAGTCGTAATAGTATAAACCACTATGTCTTCTGCCATTTACTTAGCAAATAAATTTTAATGAAATGTTGTGGTCGTCAAATATTTTTATGACGTCTGGGAAACTATATTTTAAGTTCAACGTTTCACCTCCTTTCATAACGTATATCTTGTCAATGACATTATATGAAACACCACAGCAACTAATGTCGGGTTCTATTTCTTTGATGTTTATATCGTCTGCCTCTGTCAAAAGTTTCAATAGTTCTTTCAAAACTTCATGAGGTGCAATGACATATGAGTTCACTTTTACAGGGTTGTGTTCGACCAAGTTTAACATTATACCTAAAGCTTGACAAATCTTCTCCTGAGTTTTAAGTTTGTCTTTAAGTTGTTGGTAGTCGTTTCGAATATCTGCAACAGAACTTAAGTCTCTGCTAACTTCAGGATATGGTTGTTCTTTTACAGGAACTATTGTTATACCATCTTCGTCTTCGTATGGTTTCCCCACTTCAACATCTCTTTCTTTGACATTGACAACAACACTTTGACTGTTTGTTTGAGTTGGTGAATTTAACTTCACATCTGCCACCGCCATTAAACCTTTTGAAACACTTACGCTTCTATTTTTCGGAAATGACATTTTACTTAGAATAAAAAGATGGACGTATTTGAGTATCTCTTCGAATTGAAGCAAACAAAGTTTACACACACAAACAATACAATACATTGACAGAATAGTTCTTTATACAAACAATGGAAAATGTTATAGAATAGCAGTCTTTGCTGAACCAAAATATTTTCATAAAGCAAAGAAAGTTGGTATAACTGAAATGGTGAAAGTTCTTGAAGCAGACAAAAATATAACAACAAAACTGACGATATTTCTAAAGGTAAGTTTATAATACAATTTATGTCAAAACTGGCGTACTGTCAATATTTGACGGAGAGAAGTCAGTTCAAGAACAACTTACTGACCTGCTGCCAAAATCTGCTCGATGGAAGCTGTCGTTATGCCAATCTGAGGAGCCCCAGCAGGTTTCATCGAACGAATCTTCAAAAGAGCATCTTCCGTGAAAAGTGCTATTGGTTTTGTAAACTTCTTTGCTTTCAATTCATCTGGACCGTCTCTGTCACCAGTATATTGTATTTGAACTGTACCAACAGTTGAAATACCACCCATAAAGTCTTCTGAGTCAGCAAATGGAATGCCAAGCCAAAAGTTTGAACGGTCTCCATTTGTATATTGAGTTTTTTGACCTCCTGTATGAGTCCATACTTTCACATATGGCATAATAGAACTTTGCATTTCAGGGTTAATGGTTGTTGTGAAGTTGTTGTTAAAGTTCATAGCATCTAATGTCAAGTTGTATGACCTCATATCCTCAACTGTAGAATATTCTTCTCTTGGATAATATTTGCCATCTATGTTTATATGTATTTAATACCAGGGTTGTAGAACAAGAATAGTCATTTATAGTTCGTCTGAACAGTACAAACATAGTATCTGCATGTTTCATTGCAGTTGTTAAAGCAATATCTGTTCTTGCACCTGGGTCAGCACTTTGGTTTCCAACTTCACCTGCAAAGTCTTTGACAGATATTTGGTGTATAGGGAACATAAGTGGAACTGCAATATATTTGGCAGCTAAAGCATTTGAAATATCTGGGTCCAACATATAGACTGCAAGTCTGCTTTCTATTCTCTTGCATTCAAATTTTTCGCATGTGAACTTAACTGGGTCCCAAGCAGTTCCAGCAGCATTGAAATAATAGTTTACTTCAGTGTTGAGGTTTGAGAAACCAAAGTCTAAGTCAACTTTGTCTTTGCAAAAGTCGGCGAATGACGTTTTATTTGTTCCCACTACGTCTGTAAGAGTGAATGGGTCTTGTGTTGGTGCAATGACTAAGTTATTTTTGCTTGGAGTAAGTTCGATAGAAATTTTTCCTGCCCAGTTTGGCAAGTATCTTAAAAACCTGAAGATGAGGAAAGATGACAAAGGAACTCTAAGTTTCATTTTACTTTGGTTACTGCTGCCATTGTCCAGAAAGGTTAACATAAACTCCTGGAACGTTAGGGTCAAGTCTTCTTATTTTCTCAATAGTTGCATACTGGTCTGTTTGTTCTCTAGCTTGTGGTTGTACTGAGTTTCTCAAAGCGAACCATTCATAGTTTGCCCATGTTACTGTTTGAACTAAGTCAGAGTTAGAATATATCTTATATCCCATGAAAACTTCTGGAGCATATTGGTATCCGACATAGAAAATTCCATTGCAACCTTTCTTGTCAGACAACTTGGCAGAAGGTTTTATTTCAATGTCTTGTTCCACGTATAAGAAGAGTTGTCAATAGAAATTATATGAAACCTGTCGCAAGCAATATCTACTGTTGTTGAAGAACCTTCTCCAAACTCACCTACGTTTCCATAAGAAACAGCAGTTGTATATTCGTAAGTTCCAGGAACTATTTCTGACCTTCTAATGGCATTGTCGCATTCGTTATACCATTCGGAAACATTTCCATTCATAGCATCCAAAACTGTTGGCGTTATATTCTGAGCGGCGTACATTTCATATGAGTAAAAATATAGAATAGTTGGATTTATATGTCATAATAGAACCCACGTGGACCAAGCTTTACTTTCTTCCTGACTGAGTTTTTAACTCTTCTTTTTCCTTCATTGCCCTCTGCTTGAAGTTGTTGCATCTTTGCATTATGTTCATCTAGTATGTTGCAAATTTCCCATGTCCTTTTTGCCTTTTGGCTCTGGTCGCCCATCTCAGGTAACCTATATCCTAGAAAGAGTTTGTCATAGTCTGTATTTGAGTCTTCGCGTATTGTTTGCATGACTCTTTCCTGAGTTTCCGGTTCAAGCTCTTCAAACAGTGCCTGTCCATATGGAATAAGCTCGTTTCCAAATATATGTTTTTGTAGCCATTCTGGTTTTCTTTCCATGTTACCAACTATATCTTTTGTGAATGGGAAAGCTTTTACCCAATCTTTCAGTCTTGCGTCGTTTATTTCTGTAGTTGGTTTTATTTTGTCAAGGAACATGTTTTTCAATACTAACATTTCATTTGGTACTGTCCATTTGAGTTTTCTTAAATATTCATCCCTTCTCGGTTCATTGTCTGCAAAGTAAGTTTTTATGACATTTTGCAAACTTTCGTTTGCAAGGTCATGTACAATAGGTTCTCTTCCTTCTCTCTCCCTAACTTTCTTTCTAAACTCTTCACCAAATATACCATCTCTATGGTTCTGTGTAGTTCTTTGAGATAAATGTTCTAGAACGTCAGGTGTTATATTTCCATCAGCCATGTTCATTTCATACTGGTCCAAAATATCTGCATGTTTCATATCTTTCAATGGCATTAAAGCCGCGCTTAAAATACCAGCTATATCTCGTTCACCATTGACTTCCATTGCGTCTACAACTTCTTGGAATTGTGGTTGTAAGTTTATGAACCACCTATCTGGATTAGCTTTATGACCCCATCTCATTGTAGTTCCATCGTCTGCAGAAACAAAAGTAGGTTTGTTTCCATCTTGGTTAGGTTCTGAATGAACTTTAAACAATGTTTCATTTCTATATGTTTTCTTGAAATTTAACCTTTTATTTTCACCGAGTTCATCCGAAGATTGAACGTTAAATGCTCGTAAGTAAAAAGGGTTGTTGTATTTGTGTACATTTTCTTTCAGTACTTCCATTCTATGCTGAATATTTTCATCTGGTGTTGGAGTCTTTTGTATGTCGGCAAACATTTTTCGATATTCTTCTACTATGTCAGCCGAATTTTTTTTAGACTCTTGGAAATATTCCATATTCTCCGCATACACTTGTTGAGGGTCAAGATTTTTCGGCTGTTCCAAATCTTCATCTAGTTCTGTGAAGTTAGTTTCCAAAGGAAGGACTTGTTCGTTTCCTTCAGGCTCTTCTAGCTGTTGTTGCTGAACTATTTCTTCCATGTCTGGTTGTATCTGAACTTCTTCCTGTGGAGTTTCTTGTACCTCATCTGCTGGCATTTCATATATTCCGAGACCGTTTTCAACAATTTCCCTATCTACGTCATCCGCATTCATAAGCTTTTGTTCTTTCGTTCCGTCTCTATTTTTTACGCGTTTCATGACGAAAGTTGAATTGTCATTTAGCTCTGACATCAAATATCTCGGAGTAAATTCATCCATGTCATTTGGATGATATGCTATTAAATCATATCCCTTAGCGAGCTTGTATTTTCCAGGTTTGAGATTATATCCGTTTTGGTGCTGAGCCATAAAGCTAAATAGGTTCGGGTCAGTATTTCCATCCTTGAACTTTCTAATAGCTTCTTTATATCTGTCACTAAAGTCAACAGTATCTGGGAAACCACACTCTTCTTTAAGCATTTTTAAGAATTCTTGGTTTCCTTGTTCTCTACTTCTTTTATGTCCTTGCTCTGTTTGTGGTTGTTGTTGTGCAGGGTTTTGAACTGTTGGTTGTGCTGGATTTTGAACTGTTGGTTGTTGTGTTGGTTGTTGTTGTTGTTGTTGTTGTGCAGGGTTTTGAACTGTTGGTTGCTGTGCTGGTTGTTGTGTTGGTTGTTGTGCTGGTTGTTGTTGTTGTTGTGTTGGTTTTGGTGCATGCCTGTGTCTGTGTCCATGTGACGATGTAAATGTTTTAGGTAGTCCTGGTGCAGGTGCTTCTCTTGGAGGGTTTGGTGGTATAAAGTTCCACCAGCTGGCACATATGTTCCATCTGCAGCATAATGTCCTACCTGACTTTTCGTTTTTAAGAAAGCATTTACTAGGTCTGTTTTGGTCTGTTGTAACTCTTTTTCTTGACTTTCCACAACAGTTGCTCTAACGGCGTCATAGGCACTTTGAACTGCCTGTCTCGTTGCTGCATCTGTTATTTTCGTCATATTTTGTGCTACTTCTTTTAACTCTTTGTCGAAACCTTCAGACTTCAGTTTCTTTCCAGATGAGAAGTCGTTCACTTGTTTCACCTTACTATGAAGAGCTTCGAAGGCGTTCTTAAAGTCAGCATTTGTTAAAGCTTCATTTGAACTGTCTTCATCCGCTTGTATTTTTGTCCTTATTGACCCTATGAGTTGGGCTGCTTTAGCGTTGGCTTGGGCATCTAACCAGTCATTGTTGGCTTTTATATATTCTGCGCTTTTCATTGCCTTTTGCATAGCCGCGTCGTTATTTTTACTTTCTTGTGCTAAGTTTTCATACTGTACGGTTTGGTTTTGCAACTGTAAAAGTTTTTCTGCCTTTACATTTGCTTCAACTTCTTTTTTATACTCATCGCTATCCATATATGTCTTCAGGGCTTTTTGTTTTATCTCTTCATCTTTCAGTACTTTATATCGAGTAGTATGGTTTTTCAAATTTATGACATCTTGTTCCATTTTTGCTACTTCTGCTGCTTTTTCTGACACTTTTTTCGCATATTCCTCTGTACTTAGTTCTTTCAGTTGTTCTTCTTTCTTCTTTTTCTCTACGTTTAACTCATTGAGTTTCTTTGCGTGTCTGTCATATTCTAGTTTCTTTTCGTTTTCACTTATTTGCTTCTGTATGTCTATGTTTGACTTTTTGACATCTGATATTTGATTTTTGAGTGAACTCAAATTCATTTGACTTTGAGGGTTATAGGCTGTTCCGTCTGCAGCTCCACCATAGCCTGCCATTTTCGCTAAAAGTGCCGCTCTTAAACCTCCACTCTGTGCACCAAAAACTCGGTTTAAAAGCATAGGATTGCTTGACATTTGTTGCAACATAGTGGGGTCATTCAGCATTTGTTGTTGCAAACTGTTGTTGTGGTGTCAGTTTTACTATTGGATGTTTCAATGCTCTCTTCCTCTTACGTATATTCTTACGTAGCTTACGTGGCATTTTAAGTGAAGTTAAAAAGCGGTTTTTGACAGATGTTTATATGACACTATTTGTTCAGCTCAAAAAACTACTCGGTCAAAGTGTTGTCAGTTTTGTAAAATAACCGTCCTATCTCTCATTCTATAAGGGGGGAAAGGCTTCTCAAAGTATACTTCCTTGGAACGCCTGTAACTTTTCCTGTAGCGACGATAGACCCTTATTTGTCTGGACAAAGTTATACTATTTTGAGTGCTCTACAAAAAAGTCAACAGCGACGACTCTCAAAAACCGTTGTGTAAAAAGTTTTACCGTTGGACAAAAAAGTATGTATAGAAAACAAAAAACGTTTATAGTTCATTCAATATTTGAGATGGAACGGTTTGCCAACGGAGACTTTTCAATAAAATAAAAAAATAGAGGGGGTTACCGTTGACGAAAACGGTTTATTTTAAACTTTTCTATGAGTAGTCCGAAAAAAACAGTTTATTTTTGTCTAATGGCATTCGCTAGCGTGTTCGCTCCAAATTCACCTGAAGAAATTGCTTGCAAACTTTCAGCACCCACAGGTTTAGAGCCTCAACATCAAACTGCAGCATCTACACATTCTCCAAGCAGAACAGACAATTCGCTCAATCCAAAGCCACTTTCACTACCAAAAACAATACCAAACGAGCTCCGTATTACAAAGAACCACAGCAACGCTGAACTACGCAAAATACTACTCAGATTGTCTGAAGAATACTTCAATTCAAAGCCAGAAGAAAGAGTTCCTGCAACTTTTAACAAAGAATATTGTGAACAACTCAACAAAGTTCTTGCAGACTTTACCAAACTACAAAAAGAAACACCTGACCCATTCGAATTAGGTGACACAATTGTCAACTATTTTCCAACAATAACAAAGATAATGGTTGACAGAACTATATGTCAGCTTATTGAAAGTCTTCCACCCAAAGCTGCAAAACAAGTCGAACAGTTTTGGGTCGAATTCAAATTAAAGAGTTACGGATATCAGGATGACGAAGAAGAACGTGAGTACGGACAAGAAACAGCAAATGGCAATGTCTTAGCTCACTCAACCCCAAGTTCAAACCATTATTTTACTCAGACAACAACACAATTCAAGTACGCAAAATTGCTATTCATTTCGTTAACCAAGCAGAAGACATTGAAGAAGGAGACTCTATCTCAGTTTATGTTTGCTACTGCAAGTTTTTCAAGGACGAATTTGGAGGACCAATTCTCATGCATGTCTTCAAGCCACGTCAGCAACTCTACGTTGAAACTGAAATAACACTCATGCATGGAATGTATCTCAAGTTTGAAAGCCAATTGGAAAACACATACAACATTTGGCTTTCATACATTCAGTTCGATACACCAGATGACTTTGATGTTGAAGAAGAAGACTCTACTCAAGAAGATGAACCACAAGACTCACCTGATGATGACGAATTTGTACCCGAAGAAGAATAAAATTCAAGAACACCATCAGAAGACGACCAACAAATGGCAGATGCAATGGACAGTCAAGTTCCATGAAACTAAACATCTAATTTTACCTCAATTCCAACTTTTTTTAAACATCTTCAGGGCTAGAAGGGGCGCAGCCCCTGGAAGCCCCACTTCCCTTTTTTTTTTTTTTTTTTTTTTTTTTTTTTTGAGAAAGAAAAAAAAAGAGGAAAAAAAGGGGGCGGCGATAATTTTATATTGTTTTGTCTTTCGGCCGAATGGCGGGTACGAAGTAGCCGCCATTCGGCCCCAAAAATGGCGTATTATTCTATTTTTAAACGGTCATGGCGTAAAACCGTCGCATCCCTACACCATTAAATGAAATTGATGTTAATAAATAATCATCATTTTTAATGGAAATTGATTTTGGTAAGTACTCCAGGATATAGATCTGCAATTTTCCCAAATGAACGGGGTGGATAAGATCCCAGCCCTATCGTCATCCCAGTGTCAATTTTACAAAAAAAATTCTTAATAAAAATTTTTTATTAAAAAATTCTTATCTTTTTTCATTGAAATTTAAATAATAAAATAAATTTGGCTGTAAAAACCATCAATTATTATAATTCTTATCGAAACACATTTAGAAAAACACTTATCTTTTATACTCTTTCTATTTGAAACATGTTTAGTTCAGTAATTAATAATAAAAATTGTGAAAATAGTGACTATTTAACTAAAAATATATTAAATGATGTAATAATGAGATATACATATATTTTTACGAATTATAATTAGAAATTATTCTGGTCTGGGAATCCCAACCCAAAATCATTGAAAATTTGAATATATGGGATGGGCTACCCATCCCAAAACTATATTGAAATTTTTGAATTGATAATAAATGTATCTATATCTAAGGTATATTAGAGAATTTTTAAAAATTATGCATTAAAAAATTGAATTTATTCAAAACAAATTGAGAATAAAAATGCTTAAGTAATCACTTCATTATTTCAACAATGATTGATGCAGTACCGACGTACTATAAAGACATTGAGGTCGGTACTAAGCATCAGTATCTTAGATATAAAAAACCAGGCGACAAGTACGGAAAATATTATGTTAAATGCAATGAACTAGTAAAGCGTCCTGACGGAACTATATGCCACTGTGCAATGGAAGAAATGCGTGAGGATCATTTCAAAAAATGGATCCAAAACAAACGGCACATATGCACACCAGGAGAAGTAGCATCACAACAAACAATCGATCAATACTATCAAAACGTCCCAGCAACAGGGCTTACACCTATATCGTTAGGGGATATCTATGAACAGCTTGCTACATTTACTGGAAGATTTAACTTGGCTCTGAATACCTTCTCAAGCCCAGAGTTTACAAAGCTAGTTAAAACCATTATAATGTATACTGCAGACTCGATGATATTGAAGTTCCCACAGTTACACAATGTTAACATCAATGTTGATAAACTAGCTTCTCAAATATACCAGCCTATTTCAACTGACAAACTAAGGCAAACAATGATACAAATTGCAAATTCAATCCATGTTGCAAAAGTTGATGAGTTTGCTAAGCTTGCCTGTACCTGTGTTGCCATTGATGAGGGGAAGACTCAGCAGTTTCACAATCTGGACTTCTCCCTCACAAATCCTCTGCAAAGCAAGCGGCCCTATCCTGTTGAGTCAATCCAAATGAATGGTGGAACATCTGAAGATTATATCCACTCGCTTACTCAAGGATTTAACAGAATCTTCATTAGAGATGTTAAGATCAGCAGTGTAGTTTGCGATGGCAATAAAGCGCAATTGAAATGTTTTCAGAAAGGATGGAATCAATCGTTCTACAACTCAAATGACCCAAGGTTATTCAAAATCTTGTTTATCCCGTGTTTATGCCACAGGATTCATAATTGTTATCAATATATGACAACAAAAGACGTAGCATTAGGAGCAATTGTGAAACATATCCACGAAATATCAGCTCTTTGTAGAATCCATGTTGAAGACATCGGAGCTCTCTGTCCAAAGCATGTATCCACCAGGTGGATCTATGATTATAATATTTGTATGTTTATTATCAAGTATCAAGACAAAATTTCAAGATATACGCGTATTGATATTGAAAACATCAAGTTCTTAAGAGACTGCTTGGCAATTCTCAAGAAGCTTATTTCCACGTTCGAATCAGATAAAACCAAGATATCTGATTGCTACGTATGGCTTTGCAAGGGTATTGAAGCACTCCAATACCTTTCCAGCAGCAACAACAATCCTTTTGCTGGAATCCTTTCAAGATCGTTGTTGAACTATACCCTTGGATCGGACTTTGGAGGTCTTTGGTGCTTAGCCTTCGCTTTTACACCGAAAGGTAGGTATTATTTCAACCAAAAATTCGTCCACGGAGCGCAGATCAACGAATCTCCGGCAATTAATTCATTTGATATTACAAACGTAACTTTCGTTAATCCAGTAGAAGACATTCAATCTATCTATATGGACTCTATCTTTGAAGAAGGTTCGACTGAAGTTTCTCTTGATATGGTTGAGGAGGGATCAATTCGTCAGGTAACTGCTACAATTGACCCTCCTATGCTTGATCTCGCAGATGTAACATCTAGTTCAAATCAGCCGGTTAACCATTTTGTTGCAGCTAGGCAGTATCTCAAAAGTATTTTGGAACAATTTCGTATTCCGGGTCAAACAATAACAGATATTATTACACTATTTAACACGTATATTAATAGTGATAATGATATCTTCTCTGATGATATGATTCAAGAACGTCAAGAATACGGTTGGGAAGAAATCTCTCATAGAGATGGCAATGTATCAATCTTTGCAGATATCGCCCTTCGTGTTATCTCCGCTTCACCTTCAGAAGCAACATGTGAGAGAACAATAAAAGACCAAAGATTGATACTAAATTTGAAAAGATTACGTTCTCACAAAATTTTATTAGATAGCCGAGAAATTTTAATGGCTACAAAATAAATATCTATATTTATTATTAAAAATTGTTTTATATTTTATCTGTTCAATATTTATCTCATATAAAAATTTGAAATACTTAATCAAAATTTCTATGTGTTTGTTTGAAAGAGATCGATAGCAATTCATATATCTTTTGAATTTGCTAATTGTGGTGATGGTACTATTATTATTAATTTTTTATTTTTATTTTTATTTTTTTTATTTTTTTTTTTGATAATATACTATTTAGATTTATACATTCATTCAATATTATGAAATAAATATTTCTAAATTGATCTGATTAATTTTTCATTAAAGTTTATATTATCACCAAATAAATTTTCGAACCCTTAGAGTCATAGTTCAATGGTAAGAGTCATAGTATAATCGTAAAGTCCATTGGTTCGAATCAAGGGGATTTTCACACTTTTTTCTTTTTTTAAAATTTCAGAGGTTTATTTTTTAAGGTTCTCGCTGGCGACCCCCCGTTCGTCGAAAAAAAAAATGATTTTTGCTGGCGACCCCCCCAATCACCAATTTTTTTTCGACGAACGTGTGGGGGGTCGCCAGCGAGAACCTTAAAAAAAAAACAGAATCCCAAAAAGGTGACATTTTGGGTGTATCGTCTATCCCAGGGATAGAAAAATGACTTCACCTTGGATCTATAAGTCATATTGTCAGTCAAACTATCAGTCTTATTCTAACTAAAACCGTAAGTCATAGTGTGTGTCAAACCGTCAGTCATATTGTCACTCAAACTGTCAGTCTTATTCTAACTAAAAAGCTAATTCATAGTGTCTGTCAAACCGAAGTCATATTGTCACTCAAATTGTCAGTCATACACTCACTCAAATCAACAGTCATAGTGTCTGTCAAACCGAAGTCATATTGTCACCCAAACTGTCAGTCTTTCTATCACTCATAAAACATCAGTCATACACTCTCTTAAACTATGAGTCATATTGTCACCCAAACTCTCAGTCATATTCTAACTAAAAAGCTAATTCATAGTGTCTGTCAAACCGAAGTCATATTGTCACTCAAACCGTCAGTCATATTGTCTGTCAAACCGAAGTCATATTGTCAGTCAAACTGTCAGTCTTATTCTAACTAAAACCGTAAGTCAAAGTGTCTGTCAAACCGTCAGTCATATTCTCAGTCATACTGTAGTTCATACTATCACCCAAACTGTTGTTCATACTGTCACTCAAACTCTAAGTCATATTGTCAGTCAAACTGTGAGTCATATTCTCTCTCAAACCTTGAGTTATACTGACAACCAAACCCTCATTCAAAATGTCACTCAAACTGTCAGTTATATTCCTAGACACATTCAAACTTTCCTTTATGCACTCAAAAATAGTAAAATCTATTTTTTCTTCAAGAGTATCTTGAAACTCTTGTATAAATTGAGAATCTTTTAAAATTTGTAGGAAATTTTTATCTTGAACAAACTTTGCACTATTCCATTTGTTAATATTTATTTCTGTCACTTTTTAAAGAAACATATTTATTATTTATGAGCTCATTTCATATAATAAATATATTATACTGATGAAGAAGTTTGTGAACTGATGAAAAATTTGAAATAACACTAAGTAAAATTTAATAAAATTTCTCATATTTACGATTCTTAGAAGGGTTTAATGATGATTTTATTAGTCTTAATGGCGCTATTTATAACACTTGAATATCAATTCTTTTGCGGTAATTTAGTAATTGTGGTTGTGATTTAATTGTGGTTATGATCCAGATATTATGAATAAGTGGTTTCAATGACTGTTTTACAAATTCAAATTATCCTATAAAATATTAATTTTAAATTTGCAATATTGAGATTTATCTCACATTTCAAATCGTAATTTTCATTTTTTAATAGTAAGTACAATCTAGTTTCCAAAAAAAGAATATGATCTTATATTTCGATTTTATCACCCGTGTAATCTCAAATTTTGTGAATAATTTGAGAGGACGCATAGAAAAAATTGAGAGGGGGCAGAAAATTTCTGGATAACCTTAAATTATTTTGGATTGTTTTCTTTCATTTTGATAAATACATTAATTCATCTCACTATTTACTAATTTTTTTCCCAACTTTTTGTTCTGAATTGTAAAATTTTATTCTAATCCAGACTTGTTTCCTTTATTATTATTATCCACAATATTTAATTGCATTAGGAATTTTGGTATTCTATATTTGCTCTTGTTTTGTATGAATTAATTCAAATTATATTTTGATTTATGCAACTTTGGCTTTTATTCTTGCAGTTTTACTTGCATTTACACTAATATAATGATCTATCTCTATCTCATATCCTTATACATAAGAAGTTTATGAGAATTTACATTTTTGAACTAAAACGGCTTCAAGTTTCTAAGATACAGCTTAAGACTTATAGTATTAATTCTATATATTATGATTATCATACATGCATGACTAATTTGATTTAATCAAATTATAAAAATGTTGCTTGATAGAATTACTTAAAATAACATTACATTTTTGCATTTCTCATGTAATATATTCTATTATTAATATATATATATCTAATTTTCTTTTTACATACTATAATATTATAAATATTTGATTTTGTATTATATTATGCATTTTTATCAGTTATTTGCATACCTATATTCTACAATATTCGTAGGTGATAGTAACTATTATTTGATTTAGTTTTACAGCGTGCCTTCGATATCAAATTACATATTTACTTGAATTATTGCATGAACAATGCTAAATACACAATGCATACATCATTCTCCTTATAGTATCTTAGTGATTCTTAATACATATCAACTATCAAATTATATAATCTTATATAAAAATTTAATATCTATTTGCAAGTTAGTATTTGCATCTTTAAGGTATACTCTGTTCTTTGGTATAGTTGTCTTTGAACAAATTTATTTTTTTCCAAATTCCCCTCTTCTATCGTCGTGATCGGAACGATTTTCGGGAAAAAAGTCATAAGACGATTATTTTTCGGGAAAAACGTATCTTCCCATAAAATCTTTCACATTAAATTTATCAACGCAATTCGAGACCAGACTTACAGTCTAATTATGATTAATTTTTCTACAATTTTTTCCTTTTCTAAATTTAGCAAACGGTTTTCAATTTGGCTCAGAATAAGAAATTCATGATTCAGATTGTGAGCGGAGCAAAATTTGTCTTGCAAATTTTGTAAAAATTTTGGTACGTACGATAAATTTATCATCAAAAAGAAAAATCATATACACATGAAATGCAATCTAAACTTTTAATTTTTAACTCTCGAAAAATAATCGTAACCACCAAAATTTTCGATTAAAATTTGAATCATAATTTAAAATTTAATGTTGCATAAATTACCTGATCGAGATTATCGCACCAATCGTTGGCTTTATTATGAAATCGCTTCTGTGTGTGAATACCCTGTTTACTTTTCATACCCTGACCTTCTTAAATTAAAACCAATAGAAGAATCTTTGCAATCAATCAATTTTGATGGCCCCTATCTAGCTGTATACAAGTGGTGTCTCAACTTTTCAAAGTTTCTTGAAGGAATAGTGCTTTTTATAAACACTAAAAAACTTAAGGACCAAGAAATTGAAGAATTCATATATCATGTAGCAGCCTTTTCAAGCCATACTAGGGCCAAGGTTTTAGACTTAGCCAAGAAATTAAATTTGGATATTAAATCTATTAAATTTATGAAAATTTTCAAATCATATTATATTTGCGATTTGAATACAAAGCTTAACGATCTTGCTTCATCCATTTATGGTTTTTTCATGTACCTTCGAACGAATCTTAAAGATCTCTGGAATCAATATAAAAGTGTAATGGATCCAGAATTCAAGGGAACATATTTATACAAAGCCGTGTTAGGCTGTCGTCTGTATTTATATACCGAACTTAATAATCAGAGTCCTTACTACTTTGCAAAAGATTCCAAGGGATATGTTTATGTTGTCGATACCAGAAATAACAATCAAAGCACAAATGCATCCACTCCTAAAGTCTCTGAAGTTCAAAATCAAGTTGAGAGTCCTGAAATCCAAAATCAAGCTGAGAGTTTTGAAATCCATAAGCGTTCCAAAAGTCCTGAAGTACGGAAACGCGAAGGAAGATCTTTTGAAGTTCCATTGATTATTGAAAATGCATAAGTATAACAAAAATCTGAATAATGTTTAAATAAATTTGTTTAAAATTTCGACTTTATATTTTTTGATACCATATAAGAAAAGGAATAGACTCTTAGATGGGAAGGTGATAATCCTCCTTTTTTTTATAAATTATACGAGAAAGGGAAGAAATTTTGACAAAAAGTAATTTTTTTTTTCATTCGATGTTTTTTCTTTTTTCTATTGCACATACCCTTTTAGATGATAAGCTATCAATACTAAAACACGCCTACAAAAATAACCAAATCGAATATTATGTCAGCGGCACATCAAAGCAAATAATTAATGGAACATTACAGTTAACAAAACCAGAATATGCTTTTGACCAAGTTACAAAAAGATACGATTGGTGTTCTAACTGCGGAAAAACAAAAACAGACTTCCCATGGATAGTTCTTGGCATCAAAAATCAAATAATGAACGTTAAAGGATACTTTTTGAGGGTTGGATGCTGCTACGATAGCTGCTGTTGCGAAGATTATAAGAATGGTTGCATTCATTGCTGCCTTTTCTCATGGAATTTCCAGATTTCTAATGATAATAAAACCTGGAAAACAGTACATGTTGTAGAAGGCGATTACGATATGATGCGCTGCAGCGAGAAAACATATTCATTTAGTGAAACATACAGAACTCGTTATGTACGGTTAATTCAAGCGGGAACATGTTACTCTGATCCGCCATGTATTTCACTTAATAAGATCGAAATCATTGGAACAGTTGGAGACGGAATAGCTGATGGTAATCAGCCTGAAGCTCCAGATGCTGATGATATTGATGATGATATTAGTATAATCGGCCATATTTCGAAAAATATGAATCATAATAATTAGTGTCTCTTTTTTTCTTGATGTTTTTGTTTAGATGTAAAAATGAAGTTATTTTATTCGATCAATCATATGAAATCATAAAATTAAAGATATATTTTTAACATCTTATACCAATAAAAACGAAATGACCTAGTTCCAAGTTATTACTGGAAAAATCTTTCAATATTATAGAAATTTTTCTTTACAAGGAAGAATTAATTTCTATTTTCAAAGAAAATCATCCTCACATTAATGAAAGAATGCAATAATACGGTACTAATACACAAAATAAGATTAATTCAAATTAAGTCAAGATCAAATTCAATGACTTAAGTTTCGATAAAAACATTCTAGAAAAGTATGCATAAAGGCTGAATTTTCAGATTCATTTTCAAAAATATCAGTATTATATTGGTTTTCCATAGTATCCTAAAGTACAGTATCAGAGTAAATTATGATAAATGTTTGAAACTCAATATACTCACAGAATTATTACTAATTTACAATATTTTTATAAGTTGATGCTTGTGCTCAGAGAACTTAGAATGAGATATCGAGCAAATAATATAAAAGCAGCACACAGTCCAAGTCTGATGAAAGTGACATCAAACATGTCAAATGCCAGATGCTTCAGAAAATAATTATTCGAAAAACGTATTCAGAATATGTAATTACAAAAGATGGATGTTTGTCAAATGACACAATTTGAATGGATTCAAAAATAATAAGATTTCAATCAAAGAAAACGTGTTAATTTTAAGATATTCTGCATTAACATAAACCATAGATCATGTTTATTAATTTACCCATATAAATTTTTTTTGGGATCCGCAATAAAGTTCTGAAATTGTGAAAAAAAATTATTTTTCTCTTATAACTTTTTGATAAATGCTTTCCACAAGTATCATTCTCAATTCATTACTTAACAGAAATGTCTTCTTGAATGCTGAACCTTCAATTGAAGGCTCAAAAATGACAATCACAACTCAAAATGATATTGATTCAGTCGGAAAAATTATAAATCTGGCAAACACGAAAAAGATTGCAACAATTATTGTTTCTGGTGATGAAATTACTGAACTTAGGTCATTTTCAAATCTTAATTCTCTCAAAAATTTCCAAATTACAGCACCAAAAGTAACAGAATTACCTTCTTCATGTTTTGCATACTGTTCTAACTTAGAAACGGTTACTCTCACAAAAAGTATTACTAGAATTAACAGTTATTGCTTCATTCTTTCAGGTCTTTCCAAAATTGACCTTACTTACGTAGAAGAGTTAGGTGAATCTGCATTTGCATATTGTCCAAATCTTTTACAAATAAATTTGAATCAACAAAAAATGAACCAATCAATTTTACTTGGCTCTGCTATTAAAGATGTTGTATTTGGATTAAATGTATGGAAAATTCCAAGGAGTGCCTGTCAGCATTGCTATAACATTGAATCAATTACAATTACAAGTAATGTTAAACATATTGGTACTTATGCATTTGATAATTGTTTGAATCTCGCAACAGTCAAATTTGATGGAACATCATCCCTCAAGGTAATTGGTGAATTAGCTTTCAGAAATACTAAAATTAGTAGTTTCCATTTTCCAAATTCATTAGAAGACATAAGTTACGGAGCATTCCAAAATACAATGTTTACAGAACTTAAGATTGAAACTAAAAATCGTTTATACCTCACTGAGGGATTTTCAAATTGTCTTTATCTTAAAAAAGTTATACTAAATAATGTAACATTAAGCAAAGGTGCTTTTAAGAAATGTATTGCATTGGAGAGTGTGACATTGATAGAAATAAGTAGTATTTACAATGAAGCTTTTTCAGAATGTACATCATTAAAAGAAGTCACTGGAACTTTCACATATGTTGGAAACTATTCTTTTTATCGTTGTGTAAATCTTGAGAAATTCAATCTGGCCAAAGTTACACAAATTGGTTACAAAGCATTCATGTTTTGCTCTAAATTAGAAGTTGAATTTCCCAACCAACAAATATATATTAGTGATTTCGCTTTTGCTTACTGCGACAAAATAAACACTACAACAGTTTATGAAGATGATTACATTGGTGCATATGCATTCACACGATGTAATGGAATCACAGATTTGAAATTCTATGGTATCAATATCTCATATGGAGTTTTTAGTGGATGTATGAATTTGAAATCTGTTGATTTCACAAATATAAAAGAGACGTATAATATTCCCGATGGAATTTTCGAAAACTGTAGGAATCTTGAAACACTTAAGATAAATGACAAACTTACACAAGTTGGCTCATACAGTTTCTATGGAACAAGTATTGGTGGTGAACTTGAATTAAACTGTGATTCCATTGGACAAGAGGCATTTTCTGGAACACTGATTACAAAATTAACCCTTAATAGTAACTTAATAAATATTTATTATACAGCATTTCAAGATTGTAAGCAATTAAAATCAGTTGTTATCAATTCATATCAATTTTATCTAAAACCTTGGAATGAACCAATTCAATTTAGAATAGAAATATTTAAAGGATGTGATAATTTATATGATTTCAAGATGCCAAATTCTGCAAACTATTCCGTCCAAGATGGTTATGTCTCTGATAAAAACGGAACAACTATGATTGGATATTTTGGTCATCCAGGGGAGACAGAATTAACAATCCCTTCAACAGTTAACAAGCTAAATCACTATGCATTTTCAATGGGAAGAGATATTAAGCAGATCAATGTTGATCAACTGGGGGTTATATTTTTGTGAAAACATAGAAGTTCTTAACTTCACATCGAACGAAAAGGAATTGAATCACGAAATAAGTTATCAATTATGCTACAATTGCAAAAACTTGAAAAAAGTTATTCTTTCCAGTCAGATAGATACTCTACGAGAAAGATGTTTTGATGGATGTTCATCATTATATGACATTGATTTAAGATACATTACAACAATTTACAATGGATGTTTCTCGGGTTGTATTGCTTTGAAATCTTTTAATATGCCAAATCTATTTAATATACGCTATAGAGCATTCAGCTATTCAGCAATTGAATCATTTAAATTTAACCAATATATTAAAACAATTCTAGATGAAATATTCTTTTCAGCAAAGAATTTATCAAAAGTTACATTATTAGAGGGAATAACCAGGATTGAAGAATATGCGTTCAAGAACACATCATTATCTGATATAACAATACCATCTACAGTTGAATCAATACATCCAACTGCTTTTGATCTTACTGATGTCAAAATCAATGTCGTAAAGAAAAATCCTTACTTCTTCACATCAGAACATTGTTTGATTGACAAATTAAACGGAAATCTTATTTTAACATTCGGAAAATTACCATTGATATTCACAATTCCTAATGAAGTCAAGAAGCTTGGAGATAATTCAATCCGACCTTGTAATGATTCAGTAACAATAGAATCCAGTATTCTATACCAGAAGAGTATTGGAGCGGCAGTTATTAAGATTTCATCCTCTGTTATTTCGATCTCTCAGTCCGCTTTCACTGATGTTCATTTCCTTTATACAGTTTGCTATGATGGATTCGTATACTCAAATGATAGAGAATTTAAAAAACCAGAATTATTGAGAAATGCATTCGTTACAGATAATTATATATACGACGAGTTCCTTAAGCTTCCAACAATGAAACAATGCAATGAAGAAATTCCAAACGAGATGAAAATTAGACTTAATGTTGGCTTGACTACTACAGAGATAGTATTGATTGTCGTTTGTTCTCTCCTTGCCCTCATTTTGATAGTTACTTTCATTGTGATTGCAATTTGTTTGTGCAAACGAAAGAAAGAAGAAAGCTCGGTTTTCCAACAAATTCTCTAATTTATTGATAGATTAGATATTTATCTTTTTCGAATTTATTTTTAATAAAAGCATTTTATATTAACATCGAAACATCATATATTAGAATAACTCATTAACTAAATAAAAAAAAATGTTTTTTTATCAGGGTTAGGATTCAATCAACCCTTAGGATTTTAGTTTTCTGGAATTTTAATTCAGAAACATTTTAAAAAGCTCGCATAACACGGCATTTTTCTCTTTCATTTGATCAATCCAAAAATTCTTCGTGCAAGGTACTGATATTGATAAAACAATATTCTTTGGAAGGCGTTCATGATTCGAAGAAATCGATGAAAATGCGAGCCCAATGAGTTAATGGTAAATATCCCATAATTAGAATTTATCGATGTTCTCATTTGTATAAGGAACAAAATGATCATCATCTCGAGAATAATATGCGATATATTCGAATTCAAATGGATTCTTAATTGCATATGAGAAATCCATTATCACGATAATCGGCAGAAATCAACATAACCTTGAGAATCTGCTCTTCTGGACAATAATGTGCGAATGTAAAACCTTGTTTCGCTTCATCATAATTTTTATTTCGTTTTTGAAATTCGATCATCATACTCATATTTGACAACATAGTTCGGTCATAATTATTTCCAGTAACAGATTTAATAGATCTTTCAATATATTTAATAAAATTTGATTCTGGAATTGTCATCTTCCCATTGTCAAAGAGTTGTTGAAATCACGCAATGGAGAAACTTGATACTTGTAAAATTGAGGTGGTGTAATATTATATCCTTGGCTTTTTGCAAGGAGATAATCAGTGAAGAGCTTAAAAAACAACATTTTTTTAGTTGTCAACTGACAAATTTCAAAACTTTAGCCGTTTCCCACGAAAAACAGAAAAGCCATTATTTATTATAATAAAACGTTATAAAACTTATTACAAGATAGTACGATATCGTTTCCGATAATTTCCATCATCGTTTTTCCTTGATATTCTTTGATCAAAATTGGTAAACAAAATTCCTGATTAGAATATGGAGAATAATCAATAAATGGTCCATAGGATTTACAACATTTGAATGGATACTTCTCAAAGTAATGATTTCATAATTGAAATTTTCAATGAAGTGGTCATTTATTTTGAATGTATCAGGAAAAAATTATATATATAGAAAATTTGGAAATTGTTCCAAAATTTTACTATTTGCGCTAATTTTCATTATGGAATATTTATATTTTTCTAATATCCAAAATGTTATTTAATGCTTTAAGGTCTTAGCTGTTGTTCTCTTTAATCCACGCTTCTTTTGAAGAAAGCGCTTGAACCAGCGTGGGAAAACCTTCCTTCTATGGATCCATCTTGGCATTCTTCTGCCAATTCTTCTCTTTTCAGCACCTGTCATTTGTTTTGATGTACATGGAATAACACTTTTCTCACCTCCTTTAGCTACATGATGTAAAGCATTATAGTATATTCTTGAAATTGATTCAATTATCATTGGTGGGAGTTTATGTCCATTTTCTTGGATTGATGAAATTGCAATAGAAATCATTTCTTGAGCCTTCTTGACAACTTGCTTCACAGTTACGTTCTTTGATCCTTTTGGTAAATGAGGGTAAACAGTAACTGATACTTCATTTAACTGGGATAAATAGAATGCGAAATAGTCATATGCGTATGGTCCCTTCATTGCATATGAGAACTTTGTTGTAGAGATTCTATAATATCCATTTTTGGTGAGATTTGCAGAGATCAACTTGACTTTAAGGAGTTGCTTCTCTGGGCAATATTTTGCGAATGTGAAACCCATGATCTCATATGGCCACCATACGGTTCCAAAATCATCGGAATCTTGAAGTACGGTGAGCATTGTTTCAGACATGTTCTTGTTATATGTCTTACCCGCGAATCTCTTAATAGAGTAATCGATATATTTATTGAGTTTCGATTTAGGAATGACAGCAAATGAGCTCTCTCCCATTGTCAAAGAGTTCTTGAATGTGTGGTTTGAGCAGATTTGATACTTGGGGAATGCACGTGGAGCCTTGTATGAACCATGATTGTGGCCATTCAGGGATTTAGTCAATAAAGCAAAAGACAACATTGAAATATGAATTCAGTTGGTCAGATTCTTACAAATTGAAAGAATTTGACGGCAAAATTGGCAAATATCGGTTTAAATCGGATAATGATGTTAAAATGCATATAAAGATTGAAAATTGTAAAATGAAGGAAATTTTGATACTGTCAAATGACACAATTTTGAATGAATTTGTAAAATAAGATTCTTGTCTATTCAATTTTGATATTCTATCCCTTTCTAAAAAATTTCGGTATTTTTTCTCAAAAAAAATTTGAATAAATGTAAAGTTTTATTCATGTAATTTTTAGTGTTTTTTGAATAAATGTAAAGATTATTCAGCGTATGATTAGATTTCCTTTCAAAAAATTGAATATAACACAAAAAGCTAATGGAAGCGTAAGGCGACTTCTTCCCACAGGCCAAGAATTCCATATTGAAATCGAATCCAACATATTTGTTGCAGTTTACTTCAAACATCAAGGATATACCAGCGTTTATTAAACCATAATCGAAGATTTCAAATCTACATTTCCCAATAAATTATCGTAGGAGCCCAATTTCCACGAGCTAAATGCTTAGTAAACTCGTTACCCACTACGAGATATCCTTTCTATTTAGAATAAACAATTATTTATCACATTTTGAATTCAATTTTTTGAATGGAAAATAATCGTATGCTGTAAAATTTTTCCATTTGCCATATTACATAATTTATATTTAATAAAAACATATTATATATTAATATTAATATAATGTTAACACCGAAACATCATATATTAGAATAACTCATTAACTAAATATAGTACTCTCGGAAATAAATTCTATAGGGTAATGAAAAATTAAAGGGGGATCTTTTGAAGGGGAGATGTAAACTATTGAACATCCGACCAAACGCCGATCCTATTTTTGTGGCTCTCAATTCCTTAACGTCTGCTCAGAAAAAAAGTATACGTTTAGATATATTTGAATGGTTTACTTTTAAGGTATAGAAAATCCAATTTCAAGATAGTATCATGTAATGATTCTGTAATGAGAATCTGGTTTTAATAATTTCTTCTTCTAATTTTTTATATAAAAATTTGAATTTTGTTAATAAGGAGCTATAGCAATTCATATTAAAGCAAACTTTGAAAAGTAACATATTAATGATTTCCAGCTTCTTCCATGAGTTTTAGTAAGTTGTTACTAATTTATTGAAATAATTTGGAGAGAATTCAACGGAAAATCAGGGAGAATGCGCAGTAAGCATTACAGTTTCTACCTTTTGATTTCTATCAGTAGATTTTAAACTAATAATACCATTTGCTGATGACTTGGGAAAAATAAAAATTTTAAACGGGCATTTTTCAAAATTAGAATTAAACATTGTGTTTAATTTATGCTCACCATGAAATTTATTATTTCTAAAGAATAATTCGAGTTCTTCAAATTTAATTTATTTTCAAAAAAAATCATATGTATAATTCAACCAATTATATGGTATTTGCTAATACTTAAAGTGGACCTTATAAATATCAAACCAGAGCCAAGAAATAAATGATACATTCTAATATCGTCACAATCTAACAAATCATAGAGGTAGTACTCAATCAGTGTGAGACAAATCCTATTTACAGCTAATGTGGACCGATATATTCATTATATTTCATAAAAATATACTCAATCAATTATCAAATTCCATCAGATAACGATATGTATCAAATTTAACTATTAAACAATATTTGCTTATCAATAACATGTAGATTAATATAAGAACATTGTATAAGTATAGATTCTAAAATTTCAGAGAATTTTTATTTTTAAATTTTTCTTGAAAATATTATTGTATTATGAACCTATAATATTTTTATAATTAAGTTCTCAAATCATTTGAATAGGTTCTGAAATCTATTTTTGAGACCACTATAAAAATAAATGTTATTTATCAGGGTTAGGATTCAATCAACCCTTAGGATTTTAGTTTTCTGGAATTTTAATTCAGAAACATTTTAAAAAGCTCGCATAACACGGCATTTTTCTCTTTCATTTGATCAATCCAAAAATTCTTCGTGCAAGGTACTGATATTGATAAAACAATATTCTTTGGAAGGCGTTCATGATTCGAAGAAATCGATGAAAATGCGAGCCCAATGATTTAATGGCAAATATCCCATAATTAGAATTTATCAATATTCTCATTTGTATAAGAAACATTCTTTAGTTAATATATCTATGACTAGAACTCAATGTTTCATTTGTAAGTTAAGGACACACCATCCCAAATGAGAAATAAAAAAGGGAAATAAAAACCGCCCGATTGACACTTTCTATGACTCTATTTGTCAAAATATTTTTCATTTGAATTGACATGTAAATTCTTATTATCATGTCACTTTTATTCTCTAAAAAAATTGGTATGAATAAAGAATCCATCGAAGCGGTCCTCCACGAAGAGTATGTGATCAGCAAACGTGAGTATAATGATTTAGTGGCAGAATCAGCAAAAGTAACTGATAAAATTGAGAAATCAATCCAATTTTATGAACGTTATTGTTCTAATCTCCAAGCATTCATAAATTCAACAATTGTTCACGATAACATGATCAAAACTATTCTAGAGAAACCAGAAGAGCTACTTGCTCCTGGTTATCCAGGATCTGATTTCAAAAATTTCACAAATTTCTTTTTATTGATTAATGGACAATTAAATCAATTTCAGACTATTCGTAAAACACTTCATGATACCATTATTAACCGTTTAAAGATAATTAACTCCGAATTTAACTCTGGAATTCAATATTTATCTCTAGAAAACCAAAAAGCCGCAAACATTCGAAACGCAGCAATTCAAGCATACTCTGAAATAAACGAAAAGATTGCCACGCAAGCCAATACCATCGAAATTCTTTATTCAAAATTCCAAGATTCAAAAAGTGAAAAAATGAAGAACAAACTTTCAAAAGCATGTGAAGAATATCAAATATTCCTCGGTTTACGCAATCAAAGGTATAAAGAAATGCGAACTGCTCACATCAAAGCGATACAAGCATACAACGACTCTGTCTACAGAATTAAGATGCTAGAACTCAGCAGATCAAGTAACCACAAAGAAACTATACAATTCCATTCCAAAATCATAGCGGACTGCATTAAAAAAACTGAACATATCATTGAAAAGTTCCATGCAGTCCATAGAGACTGGAACGAGGACATAAACATCTTCCTTATGAAGACAGGTATCTCTCGCAGCTCCTGGAAGCCTCTAGAGTTTGTTCCTCCCAAATTTAGTTTCGAAGATTCTCGAATTGACAGTCCCCTTCCTCCAAAACCAGGATTTGGTAATCCTGCACCAATCGCAATGTGTCAAGCTATCAATGACTACTCTCCTACCCATGATGGAGAAGTTTCTGCTTCAAAAGGTGACAGATTTTATGTTTTTGACAATTTAACTGGTCCTAACTCTTATGTTTGCTGTCCTCATGGCGAAGGATTCATCCCATCAACTGCTATACACAAAATTGAAGGTGAATATTACCTTGTAACCACGCCAACTGTTGCTCTTGAAGAAGGTTTCCTTTCTGCTTCTGCTGGAGAAATTTTGAGATTTATATCTGACTGCGATGGATCAAAGATGTTTGAGAATTTGAAGGGAATGGTTGGAAAAGTTCCTGATGATTACATTGTTTCATTTTAAACATTTAAATTAATTTAATTTTGTCTGCTTTTTTTTACTTCGAAAAAAAGCTTTGGATTATTGATAGCATATCAAATAGCTGATTATTGACCTTTACTTTAAAGACTTCTGAATGAATTTAATGAATTTTCATATTTCCATCAAACTCGCCTATAATATAATCACATATTGTGGCCAACATCTAATAATTATCGATTTGAACATGTATGAGATTTAGATCGTGTTTTTAATATGAGATATTTTTTGGTGATATTGTTTTGGTGCTGATTTCAATTAACAACCAATCGAACAAATATCGTGATGCATGATATCTTAAATACATGGTAAATTCAAGTTTAAATTGATAAATTGATAATTATAGATTTTTCATACTTTTATAAGTCAACAACTATTATTATAATATAGATCGTAATACAGCTAATATAATGATGGTTGAATTTACATGAAAATAACATCTAAACAAAAAAATTATTAAATTCATTATTCAAATTCCTACATTTTTACTATTAATAACAACAAGAACATAATTTATAATGTATAATATCGAAAACAACAAATTCAAAGATAAATTAATAAAATTTTTTGGTAAAAATTATAAAAAAACTTCGAACAAAGTATAAAATTGTAACATTTGGTCGATCTAATGCACATAAACTATATTTAAAAAGTTATTTTGACTTTGAACTTTTTCCATTGAATTCCCTTCCATCATCAACAATCAGAGTTACTTCTTTTGAGTTAGAAAACGATTCCACCTTTAAAATCAGGCAATTTCTTGGAATTTCAGTTCCAGCTTCATCCCTCAATCGAAAATCTATGCCTTTTAGGTTTGGATTGAATGCTAATGCGTAGTCGTATAAAGAATCTGTTAATTGTGTCCCGGAAAACCAATCATGAACGATAGAACTTAAATGCTCAGGAACAAGTCTAAAAGTAACGTGTTTTGTTGTATCCTTTGATAAATCTGTTAAGTGGGCAACTGATATACGGTTAGGGTCAAAGAATTCTTCATCTGGAAATCGAAAACATTTGACATCCATTGTATGTAAATGGGTTATATCAGTAATATCCATGGTGTTAGGATCGTAATCGGCTATCCATTCGTATTGATCTGGTTTTATGTATTTTCCATCTTGAGTATAAACAGATAAAATGAAATTTTTTACACGTGTTTGATCTGGAAGCATATAAAATACATCAAATGCATATGATTTATTTGGCTGTATGATATATGATCTAGAAAAGTCTGAAATAATGATATTCCCGCAAGAATTTACTAAATAGCCTATATCTACTATTTTAAACGCTTTAACAATATAAGGCCCTTCTCCCGTATCATTTATTTTAATATAAATTGGCGATTTTTTAGTTTTACGTTGTATTCCTATAAATTTACAATCTAAAGATTTGTTCATGTAATTTGGGAAGATTTTGTCGGTGTCACGTAGTTCTGTTCCATTGCAAAGCAGAATTTGTTGATATGTTGGAATTTTTGTTTTTTCTTTAATTTTTCGCTTAATTTCTAAAATAGTACTCTCTCTATTCATTGATACTTGTATATCGCTAGATCCCATATCAGGCAGCTTAATTACAAGCGCCGTCTCTGATAACCGTCCACTCATTTTTAAAGAATTAAAAAAAAATTCTTAAAATTCAAAAATCCCTTAATTCCTGAGGATTTTGGAAAAAAGTTTTTACATGAACATGTGTATATTATATGAAGTATATTGATAAGGTAAAAATCAAATTTTATTGCATATTCATCGAGAAAATAAACTAACAAATCCCTCAAAATTGAGAGGGTAATCCTCCTCCTCTCAAATAAACGTACATACGGGTGCACCCTTAAATAATATATTATTTTTTAGTCATAAGAATAAAAATATAGTAGTTATAAAAGGAATTAGACTTCATATATCAATTCTTTTTCTCTGTAGATGTGGAACGTTTGCTTTTCGATCTCTTTCGATGAACTTGAAAATATAAGTTATTATCGCTGAGAATCCTTTCCGAAATAGGAGCTTTACGTTTAGGAGGATTGTCGGATGAATTTTGTTTTGTATTGTTTGATTTTGTTGTTATGGAAGATTTTTTCTTATTTTTTTCAGAATTTTGCTTGCTATTAACTGAAACTTGTTTTGACGGCCCAACAATAGCATTTGTAGTAGGAAGAATTCCCAATAACGAGCGCATTTTCGATAATTGTTTTTCAATATGATCAAGAAGGTCCAGCTTATGTTCTAGATTACTAGACATTTGATTTGTAGAAGGATGGTTTTGATTTTCTGGTTCTAAATCTGTAGAGTCTGCAATATTTGAATTTTCGGAGCGAATTGGAGCATCTGAACCTTGATTTGTATCGGCTTGCTCAAAATTAGTTTGAATTGGAGTGGATGAATTAAAATCTGGATGATTTAATGTTTCATTAAATAATGCCATAATTTTTTCTCTTTTTTCATTAATAAACTTAGTGATCATTGTATCTTTATCTGTTAGATCGATCGATTTGAGTATATCTGCATCATGAACTGGAATATTTTCGAACAATGAACTCGATTCTATGGAACCATATGGAGAAATCTCGTTCTGAGCCAAAGAAAGATCACTTACGTTGTATTGTTTGATAGAAAAAATTGTTTTCTCAAGTTCTTTTTGAAAGCAGTCAAGAATATAATTTTTGTAGCTATCAGTGATAACGGTTTTTATATGGCGCTCGATCTTCTGGTTATTTTTGATGGCGTTATATTTATCTAATTGGATTTGAGATATCTTCTTAATAGCTTCATAAATGTTTGGATGTTTTAACGAAGAAAATTCTGAATGCATACTCTCGAGGCAATCATTAGTGAATATTGCAGTTGCATTATTATATTGAGATATTAAATTGTAGTGCGGCAACCAAACTTTGTTGAAATAATCAATATAATCTTTGATCGAATCAACTTTATTTTGATTAATTATATGCATTGTAAGTACAAATTCTTCATGAGACATGAATGGAGTAATAGAATATAGCTTAAATAAAGAATTTTGTAAAGTATTGAAATTTTTTGTATAAAGTGCTACAAGTTTCCTGTGTAAAGCTTGTTTGAAATGAAATAGGCATCCAATTATACGGACTTTAGGGAAAATTTGTTGAAGTGCCTCTATCATTCCCTTTTCAAAATCACAATGAATTTGAATTAGCTTTGAAAATTGAATACCCTTGACAGTAAAAATATATTCAAATGCCTTCTTATAAGATTCAAATGTGCGGTTTTTCATGAATATAAATAAAAGTGGTAGATATTGATTTGTTGAAGGTTCACAAATCATAATTGTTAGCATCTGTCCTTTTTGAAAATGTTTTGGTGTAATTTTAAAAGTTCCATCGCAAAATAAATCTGTGGCTTCTTTTGCAAATTGAATTGCCTTCTCAAAACCAAAAAACATCGTCTCACAATTTGCTTGAAAATCATGGCCAATGAAAAACTGCTCGCCATTTATTAAACAAAAATTAGCAATTTCATCGTCTGTAATTTTTTCTCCAACAGAAAATTTTCTGGACTTATTATAAACTTCCCTGACCAATGAATCTTTAATTAATGGGTTTTCATCAGTACCAACAGCAAGTTCTGTCATAAATTTTTTAATCTGCTGAAAAGTGCCGTTGTCTTCAGAAAATTTTGCCATTGCCTTATTGTATATTTCTGTCAGAGTCATTGATTTATGAAGATCATTTTTTTCATTTTGTAACTTTTTAAATTGTCTGCATTCGGGTATATGTTCCTTTTGTAAATCTTCGGAAACTGAACTGTTCTCAATTTTAACTAAATAACGTGCTTGACAAGAATGATCGATGCAACGGTAGTAACGTTCAATATTATTTGAATTAATAATATTTGTATGATCATGCGAATAAAGCATATCTTTGCGAACAATTGTATCAGGATATTTTCCAGTAACTGCGGGAATATTTTTAACTGCAATATAACTAAAATATCTTCTGACAGCTTTAGATTCATTTTCGGCGTATTTAATATTAAAATATTGAAGAACTTGTTTGATTATATTCGTTTTTTCATCTCTCGATGTTGATTTTTGGTATTTATCAGATTGTTCCCTGATAAATATTTTATTTTCGTCTGTAAAGTTTGCTCTTTTTTGATTAAATATAGATGATTTTCCCATTAAAAAATGAAATGATGCAAAATTTACGAAAACCGTTCGAAAATTGAATCAAAAATGAAAAGTAATACTTAAATGAGGAATTCTTTGAGATATTGGTCTTAGATTGAATGTAGCGTCATTCTTATATAGAATATATATTCATATCATCGGAAATATGATAAAAAGCATATAATAAATGTCAAAAAAGTGAACAAATAAGCAAAGATATTTTTTAAAAAACAATGAAAAGTAATACTTAAATGAGGAATTCTTTGAGATATTGGTCTTAGATTGAATGTAGCGTCACAAATTTCACAAATATAATTTACTATACAATTTTATTCATTTTTTTAAAATGGCTGACGACAGTCTGTATCAACTAACTCAACTAGTCAAGCATAATGATTATTCTTCGGATTCATTAAATCAACTTTATCAATGCATAAGTACAATGACAGAAAGATCAATTGGATGCTTGAATTGGGATAAATTTTTCAAAAAAATCACAGTGACTGATGAAGTTCTTTTACATTTTTTAGCATCCGTTTTAAACATTGAAAAGATATCAGAATGTTTCAAGGATTCTATTTTTTATCACAATATTAATCTTGAAAAATTCAGTAATTTAACTGAAACAGAACAACAAACAATTTTAAATTCCTACAAAGCGGATAAATTTACATATTACATAATGTGCTCACAAATTGTAAAATCAAACTGGAACAATTTATCCCAAACTTTAGTTAATATTGCAAATCAATATTTGCCATTTTTAGATGAAGAAAAGCAAATATATATATTTACTGAAATAACTGGCAATTATCAAAATTTTGAAATTTCAGTTGCAAACTTGTTACTTTTTTATGAAAACAATGAAGAAAAATTAAGCAACTGTTTTAATTTAACATTGTTCCAGCAAATTTATTCCAAAAATGGAATCGAGCAAATGATATTTTTTGCTGCAAATACAATTTGTTGCAATAACACTTCTATCAATTTTTACAATCTCCTTGAAATTGAAGAAATGAATCCATTTGATTTTTTTTATTTCTCAATTCAATATAAAGAGATATTAAATTGCGATGATTTTCCAAAAGTTACAGAAGTAATCACAGGTTTAATCTCAGCTTCAAATATTAATGCTATTATGCGAATTTGCCAAAAAATTTTGGATAAAATTACATTTTATAAATGTAATTATTGCCATATTACCTCAATATGGAATTTTATCACAAATGCAGCAATAATTCTTCCTGATGAAGATTTATTAATCAAATTATTAAAATTCATAGAAAAAACAGAAAAAGCAACAGATGAATTATTCGAACCGGAGAATGATTTGGGTTTCTATGAATATTTAAATTCGATTTTCTCAGATATTACATCTGCGAGAAATAAGCAATTTCTCTTGGAATTTCTAAATACCCATGAAGATGACTTCACTTATGATCAAACATTGTGAGGTCATTTTTGATCAACAAATTAATTGAAATTCCGATCAAAAAAAATTCACAAATTGGATCAAAAAAATCGAATCTCAAGTTAAAAATAAAAAATTTCTACATTTTTATCAAATTTAGATTTTTTTTTCAAATCATGCGAATTGATTGAATAATTGCATATTTTATCCCATGCATCTAGAAGTATGTGTAATATTTTTGCTTTCATCAAGAAATTGTCGAATTTGATCTTAATTTTTTTTGAAAAATATACTTTTAGAAAAAGAAATAGTGATTGAATAGCTGCCCATGCTGTAAAAGGGTTATTTTTACAAGTAAAAAAATTGTTATTTTTCGAGCAAGTCGAGGCTTTTTTACCATCTTATTTTTGAAAAATTTACGAAAAAGTATATCTGAAAAAACGCTTCATTTTGATATCTTACAATGATAAAATACCAATATTGCTGGGATATAATAGCTACACCTGGACATCTACTACATTAATGCGTATGATAGGTAAAGTTGATTTCAAAAGTATAGCCTGGAAAGATTACAATAAATCAACGATAATTCAAAAAAATTTCTTATAAGTTAACATAATAAAAATTTAATTTTTATATTGCTTGTATTATACTTAAGTATATAATATATTTAAATCTTAGAATGAAAATTCGGGACGCCCTAGCTATTCAATTTTCCCTTAGGACGCCCATAAACCTCTCAAAAATGTGATGTAAATATCACAATTTTGAGAAATTTACACTAGGACGCCTTAGGACGCCAACCCCCTTTTTTACCAATTGAGAATAATCAAAATATACTGAAAAATCTTTCACGGATCAGAAATTGGTTTAATCATCATATTTGGGTAACAGTCTCTGAATCTTAATGATAGACTTATATAAATTTAATATATCATATATTTTTTAGAGTTTTCTATTAGTATTTTGATAATAATATTTTAAATCCGGAAGATTGTTATGATATGTTAGATTTTAAAGAAAATAATTATATAAAAATAAATTTTCTAGAGAAAAGTAGTAATAAAATTAGTATATGTCGATATTTAATAATTAAAAATCAGTATTTTAGAATGTTGTCTTTGAGAAATCATGCATATCGAAAACATCAGTCTTATCAATCCATTCAACGCCATTCTGAGTAATATGGACAACAGAAACACGACCACCAGAGCCAGAATCACGATATGTAGCGTGGTAAATTGCTCTACGGCCAAGTTCGCAAGCTTCTTCCTTTGTCATATCTTCGCGATAGCAAGTATCAAGTACACCATAAGCGTGTGTTGAACCTGAACCAACGGAGAATCTCTTTCCAGCAATTCTAGATCCGTGGTTGTCGATGTAGAAAATATGTGGGCCGGTGTTGTCGTAACCGCAAATCATTGAGCCAATAGAGAGGTTATATCCCTTATATCTGTAAAGTTCGTTAACAAGTATTTTAGAAGCAGCGGCAACTGTTAATGGTTGTTGATAGCGGAATTTGTGAAGTTGAATAAGACGAGAAAGATTACGAAGCCAATACTGGCAGTCGGCAGCACCACCAGCCATAGTTCCAATCATATTTGGTGCAAGTGGAAGGATTTTCATAACTGTTTGCGAGAAGATGAATTGACCACCTGTTGCACGAGAATCGACGGCAACGACAATACCTCCGTTGTAGATGAAGGAGAGTGTTGTTGTACCGTGAACGGCGGCCATTTTACCAGGCTCGTTTGTATATGATAGAGAAATGTGATTTTTAACAAATTGGCATGGATCTGGAACATGTGCGGGCTCTAAAGCTTTTGTTGTTTCTTCGGATTCAACTTCGTCTCTTGGTTTAAGATACAAACTTTGCATCAAAAATGTCTATCGTCCTCATTTGACCAGGTATAGCTGAACAATTATTCACTTTTATCGTCGGATGAATTAGTGCTATTTTGGTTTTCGCAATGATTTTATGAAAACATACTAGTCGCATTGTTAAATGAAAAATATTTCGAACGATTTCGTTCGATAATTTTTTTCTTTTGCAATCTACGGATGATATATATGTGATTCAGATTACATAACTTCTGTCGTGTATAAATTTCATTCAGAACCAATGTATCTAAGCATAATGAATTAGATTATCCGGACATAATACCACCTCAATCCAACAGTGCTTTCAAAACCACAGTAACTAATTATTGGATTGAAAGAGACTATTGGGAGGAGATATACTATTGTTTCATCATGATCAGATTCTGTTTTGTTAAATATATACCATTTATATAGAATTAAGATGCAAGAAATAAATAAGTAATTATAATTCTCAAATAAAATCATTGAATTTACAATTGATATTTAATTTGGATCACAATATTCTTCAAATTTATAGATATGGCTGAAATTGGGGATCATAATTTCAATTAGTAGTGATGATCATGCCTCAAATGAAGAAGTAAGTTATATATTTCAATTAAAATATGCTTGAATAAGGCATTCGTTTCAAGAGATCAAATGTATATATTTATATACATTTAATGTAATCAAAAACATTTATAATGCAGAATGAGACTCAATTTCCATTGATGATATTAAAGCTAGAAGGACTGACAAAATTAGTAAATGAAAACATTAATTCTTGATGGAATTTTGCTACATATTTGAAAATTGTGGATTCGTTTTGAAATTTCCATATAATTATATGAAATTATATCGAAATTTGGATTTGTTCATGATCGGGCTCATTCTGATGAATAACTTATATGACACATTCCCATCGAATGATTTGGATACTGTTAAATAGCAATTGATAATTCATTAAAACTCAAATATAAAAAATTTTTGAAACAATTAAAATGATTAATCGCATTGAAATTTCTTTTCTTTATATACAGTATATGAATATTTTATCTTCGAAATATTCAATTGTCTATTTCCTATCAAACAAAAACATAATTCATGACTCAAAATATCATATTTTCAAAATTCCTCACGAATATATGATACACAGAATGCAAGAATCAGGATACTTGAGTATTGGATATTCCATATTAGTCATTCAATTCTCGCATCATTGAATTTTTCTGAAGCTCAAAATTGAGCAGTATTTAAAACATTTTACGTGCTTAATTCTTTAAAAATATATAAAAGAACGATATAACATTCAAAATAATAATGGACCAATAGGATCCACTATCATAATTACACATCTTTTATAAAAAGTTTGATGGAACTAGGAGCGCTCAGAAAAATTATAAAATTTTTGTTAGCATATTCCATAAACAATATTGATTTACGTTGAATTAACTTGAAAAATTATGAATCAGTTCAGTAAATAAAATTTACAAACCTCTCAAAAAATACGAATAAAATTGAGAGATCAATGAATCACTTCATTTTAGGATATGGGTCGTTTCACACTCCCACGCGATATCTATCATGGCAAGGGCGCTCTTGAGAACCTCAAGACACTCAAAGGAAAGAAGGCCTTTGTTGTCGTTGGCACACACGCAATGCGCCAATTCGGTTTCCGCGAGAGAGCTGTCAACTACCTCAAAGAGGCACAATTCGAAGTCAAAGTCTTCGAAGGTGTTGAGAGTGATCCATCAATCGAAACAGTCTTCAAGGGTGCCAAAGTTATGCAAGAGTTCCAACCAGACTGGATTGTTGCCATTGGTGGCGGTTCTCCAATTGATGCAGCCAAGGCAATGTGGGTTGTTTATGAATACCCAGATATTACATTTGAGAAGATGATCATCCCATTTGCGCTTCCAGAACTTCGTCACAAGGCACATTTCTGCGCTGTTACATCAACATCTGGCACAGCTACAGAAGTTACATCATTCTCTATCATCACAGATTACCAGAAGGGAATCAAGTATCCACTTGCTGACTTCAACCTCACACCAGATGTTGCCATTGTCGATCCAGAGCTTGCAGATACAATGCCAAAGAAGCTCGTCGCATTCACAGGTATGGATGCCCTCACACACGCTTTCGAAGCTTATGTTTCAACAGCTCACAGCGACTTCACAGATGGTTTAGCTCTCCACGCTATCAAGCTTATCTTCGAGAACCTTGAGGCATCATACAACGAAAACAAGCAGGCTCGTGCAACAATGCACAATGCTCAGAACCTTGCTGGTATGGCCTTCTCAAACGCTCTTCTTGGTATTGTCCATTCTATGGCTCACAAGACAGGCGCTGCTTTCTCTGGTGGACACATCGTTCACGGATGCGCCAACGCTATGTACCTTCCAAAGGTTATCAAGTACAACTCCAAGAACGAAGAAGCTCTCCATCGCTATGGTGACATCGCTCGCTTCCTTGGAATTCAGGGCAAGGACGATGTTGAGCTCGTTGATGCTATCTGCCAAAAGATCCGTGACCTCTGCGCCAAGATCAATGTTCCACTCTGTGTCAAGGACTATGAGAATGGCTTGATCAATAAACAAGAATATCTTTCTAAGATCAAGGATGTTGCTGCTAGCTCCATCCTTGATGCTTGCACAGGATCCAACCCACGTCAGCCAACACAAGAAGAAATGGAGAAACTTCTTCTTGCTGTTTTCTATGACAAACCAATTGACTTCTAAGCAATTCTCCATAAATAGATAATAAAAATTACAGAATTATAACTTTTTCCACTGATTATTTATCTAACTTCTACGACATACAATAATTTGGCCTTATCTAAACAAAAATTACGATCTTTTGAGGGCATATTGAAATTCTTCATAATTTTTTTTGACCATTATCGTATTTTTGTGAAAAGACATTGAATCTTCTCAATTTGTCTTGAATCCAATTCGTAAAATTAATTACCTACATAGTGTGATTAACATAATAATATTAAATTTACCCGGGGTGTAAAGAAAAATTGAGCACTTTTTTTTAAATGGAAATTGAGCAAAGACTCCCTAGTAGCAGGAGGTCACAGAGCCAGCATGCAACGGCACGCCCTTCAAGTACAACAAAAGTTGTCAGATCGATGCAACCAGGATCTCTTTCTTCAAGAAGATTTATGACTCCAACAAAATCTTACAAATCTCCATACTCTGAGCCAATATATAATCTAGCTCTCTACCAGGGGAAAACTCTACCACCACCTAAAAATTCTCCAAGACTCGTTCCAACGAAGATTTTTGGACATGTTCCTACAGGAAAAATGCAAAGTCCAGTTGTGGTTTCAAACCCAGATGAAAAGGTAGAGACTGTAGAGTATAGAGTGCGTGAAAAACATTGGAAACAATACGATAAAGATTGCGAACTCAACATTTTTAGAAAAGTTGACAAACATTCACCGTACAGAGAGAGTTTGTCTAAAGCAAGAGCTCAAACAGTACTATCTACAAGAAGAATGCTTAAAGATAGAGACCATCAAGACGCAATGATTAGAAAACGAGAATGCGAAGAATACGAAAAAGAAATATGTAACTCAATAGAAGCTGATAATAGATATCCAAAATCCGATATAATCCATAACGTATATCACTATCTTAGAATTAACGTTACTGATTGATGTTACTCATTCTGCAAAAACACATTCATCCGAAATTTACATAGGACATATACTTTTATTCTTGAAAAATTAATTTTTATTTTCATAAGTTCAAGCCATTCCATCTACAGATAACATTGTTAATATTTAACTGTAATTTATCCTTACATTACTTTATTTTTATCCTTTCTTGATATTATTTTGATAAAGATTATTATTTTATGTATAATACTAATTTACATCTCAAAATTTATCTAACCATGGCCAATGTTTTTTATTGGAACAAAAAATATTTCATATCCATATCCTTTTTTCAAATCAATTTCATTTTAATCGAATAAACATATGATTTTTAAACAACAAGCAACTATATCTTTCATTTTAGAATGAACAAATTACTTTCTATATATTCCCCCATATATTTAACCATAATAAAATTTCAAATAAAAAAATTTAACTTATAGCTAACACATGTTTCAATCATTAACAACACATTCTTTTAGTTTATCAAAAATGAAAAGCAAATATATTTACTAACATGAAATATAACAAAAATAAAATAAAAAATTACAAGATTGTATCAGCAGGAATATCACTACCAGAAGCAGTTTGTTCTTTGTAAAGTCTCAAAGCGTTTTCAGCCTCAATAATTGCTTCCAGTTGTGTAGGAGTCAAATCGTATCTATTCTTCAATTTCTCAATAATTCCAGCGGCAATTTCACCGAGTTTTGCAATTTCCGCTTCACCGGCCGGTTTCAGATTCTTTCTCAAAACTTCTGTTGGTTCCCAAATACCGAAAATGACTCTTCCTTTCTCACCTCTCTTTCCCAACATTGCGCACCATTTGTAGCCTGTTCCATCGATATCCACAGGCAAATACATCTCGAAATAGTGCCCGAACTCAAATGTAGACCTCATGTTCCTCATAAAAGCGTCTCTGTACTCTTTCGCAACAATGTCGACATTCGCCCATGACAAAACTTTGGAATAATCTGACAGTGGCAGATTTTTATTATCCATCACTTCATCAATATCAATAAAGCTCCAAAGTTTGATGCCAGCGATTTCCATGTACGGTGTTATCTCTTCCAAGTAGTTCTTCATCTTATCAACGCTGTTCTTTATATCGTCAATCTGTGTCATGACGCAATACAATGAATTATCTTGAACAAACATTGATAATTTGTACCAAAAACTCTTGCCACCGACCATTGATAATAAAATTGTGCCCGTCCAATTCTTCTCGCCCCTAACTCGTAAACCCATGAGACCGTTTACGAAAAGTGGCCGACTTTCGCCTTGAATGAAATTGGCCATATTCGAAAAAGGTGTCATTTGGTCGACCCCCAAAACGTCCCAAATTGTAGGGAGTCCGTAGAGCGGGAAAATTGAATCGGATCCGATATCTACGCCCCAGAATGTTGAATTCACGCGGGCAGTTGTGAATGGGAAACTGCCTAAGGTGTCAATCATTATTTCGAAAGCACTTTCAAGGGAATGCATGAATCCTATCTCGCTATTCGCTGATACTGAATAGAAATGAACACGATTGTTGGCAGAAAGTACTCGAATACAAGCGGTTTCCGATACTTTTACATTTGGAATGTAAATTCTGTCCGGATGCTCTCTGTAATACTCTCTTTCAGTCGGAGCCATGATAAGATATCTGTCTAATGGCTCGATATCGTGTAAGAAAGTCAATATCGTCTTATTATAATCGTCAGTTACAGGAGCAGAAGGTTTAATTGAAGCTCCGAGGTTGCAGAACGTCTCTGCATCATCTGGATGAATAATTGATAACAAAGAAGTACCTAGCGGATAACCAAGTTGTGAAATTAAATTATCTGTATCATCCAAGTGAGGCCTTGGCTTCATTATCAATCTGTGAGCGCCAATCTTCTGCATAGCATCTGCTACTTCGTTGTATCTCTTTATTTCTTCCTTCTTTTCGTTCAAAAGCCAAGTTATATTTTCTGCCAAAATTCCAATGATTTGTTCGTTGTTTTTAGATGGAATTCTGTCTGCCAGGACTATGAATGTTTTGTCCTGATACTCGAAAATGAAGTTCTTTTGAGAACTGTCCATGAAAATATGCGCGGCTTTGATAACAGCCTCTCCGCAGTACTTTAAGTTGTTCGGCTTCGAGAGAATGATTTTTTGGAGGTCGGCGTTGTACTCGAAATACATTAATCGACCAGATGCTTCCATCAAATCAACTAATCTCTCGTATTTCGTCAATTTGTCTCTAGCAATCGTGATCTTTCGAACGAACAGTGCTGTAAGAAGGATAAGAGATAGCGTGGATTGGGCCATTGGCACTTGCGCCTTAGTTATTCCGATTAATACGACATCAGTTTCTCCGTAACGGACAAGAGTGGCGTAGCAGTCGGGTAATAAATCGTAGTCTATGTATTCGTCCTCTTTTCTGAGAGTTCCTTGAATTTTTGCGATTTGTTCTGGAGTTAAGTCTTTTAATGGAGGTTTTGAGTATTGGCATATTACCTGGCCATCGGCTTCGAGGACTAGAGATCGAAGAAGGCCCATGGAGATGCTGTAATTGTGCATTAATTGAATAAAATCTGTTGGCAAGAATTTATTGCCCATAATGATACGATTGCATTGAATAAGGGATGAAAATAGTAATGTCGATGAACATCCTTGGGAAAGGAATGGAAGTAGAACGTTTAGAGGTATTTCTAGTTTAATTCTTGAATTATTGCTTAATTCGATGGTCATAACCAAAGGTCTGTAATGTCTGTAGCTTAACATCTCGTAGCTGATGCTTGTCGCTGTAAGATTTTCTGATGAAAATTCTACTTTCAAATTTAGATCATCAATATCGGAGATTCTCTCTGTCCAAAAGAATGTAATGTAGTTGCCGTCTTTCAATGCATAGGAAATGGACTTGTGGAATTTAGATCGAGGATAATCTCTTTCTACGCTTACTGTTTGGACTTGGGACACGCCGGATATGTGTACAGCAGTAAGAGAATCATGCTGACACTTCAGCTCTTCTTTAGAAAGGTTTTTGACGCTTTCGTGAATTGGACGAATGTTTTTATCGAAAATATTGAAATATGGATTGATTTTGATATGTATTATATTGATATATGCAAATAGGATGATGCCTCCTAAGATAAATACGAAATGAGGCAAGTGGCTCCTTTGTTTACAAATTGCTTTTGTATCTTGGCAATTTTTTGTAGAAACAATGTACTTTTGAACGAAGATTTCATTTAAGAAGTCCAAACCGTAGAAATTCTTTGACGTTGTAAGATTTATTGAAGGAATAATTGTATATCTTGTTCGCTTGGAAGAAATTTGTGTAGAAATACCTTGCGAGTTTAAATATTGGAATAAAATAACTGCATATTCATAATTTGGAGATATTGTTACCACTGAAGAAGTATATTTTTCATCCATAATTACTTCGAAATCGTTGATTTTCTCTGAATAGAAGCAGCAAATATTGTCTTTTGGATCAATATTCAGCTGATCAACGACTGTATACGAGAAAATGTAACTTAAAAAATAGAAAATAAGCATAAATTAAATTTTGTAAAGTTATTAATTTTTAGCGGTTTTGACAGGAGTGCCCAAAATCTTTTATAGAGATTTAAAATTTAAACATGATTTAGTTGACATAGTAGTTGATATCATCTTTTCAATTTTTTTTCCCTAGAATCTCGGGATCTACTTTGGAAGCAATATCTAGAACTCACAAGAATGCATCTGCCATCTACACCTTTATGATTTTAATATACTCTCTTCAAATTCTAAAAAGACATATATTTGCTTGATATGAATAATAGATCTCTCTCTCTTCTTTAATTCAATTAAAAACATATAATATTCATATTTGAACTCATATAGGTTTCAGTATTTGTCTAAATTAAGCTTAGATAAAGCTTTTAATTGTATGATTTTGCGGAAATTTGTTCAAAATTTTAAAGATCGAATTAGAGGGCTAAGTGTTTATTAATCATTCAGACAAGAGAATAGAAATGAAAGATAATATTTGAAAATATTGAATTAAAAGGTGAAAGCTAGTAGTACATGGTTCTTGTATAATATTCTTGTTAACCTTAACCCACAAACTTACAACATTTACGCCAGTTCCGTTAGATGGTATCGTAACTTTATTATCTTCCCATAACTGTTTGGTGTAACCAATAGCAAAGTAAAAGTTATCATATCCTTGGCACCCGTCAATAAGAGCGTCAGCAAGACTTAAGCAAAGACCGCCCCAAACACAATGTTCATGCTTTCGATCCGCAAGAACTTTTACGTATTGATAGCCTGTTACGTTGTAAGGTTTGTAATCGCTTTTAACTATTTTGGGCTCGTTTAATGGATTGTTTTTCTGCTTCCAAACGTTGAAAAGTCGTAACTCTGGATACACAATCGAAAATTGGAAAAGACCATCGGTGTTACGATACTTGTTGTCGATTTCTGTGAGAATTGAGTATTTGTATTTCTCGTTACTCCACCTCGCTTCGTTTTTCTGTTTAAAATACCCACCAAGTTGAATGTCTTGATAAAATACTTTAAGGTAGAGTTCATTATCAATAAACCCATATTCATATCTTCCCTTCTTGAATGTAGTGAAGTCTATTCAGCACGAATTTTTGTTCTTACTTTTTTAAAAAAAAATTGACAAAAATTTTGAATGAGCTTTGAAAAAATCAACTTTAGAAAAAATCAATAAACTTTGAAGGTCTTTTTTACTTGTGTATAAAATAGATTCCCCTTTGAAATGAACTTGGAGCTAACATAGAAGCAAAATCTACTCTTTAATACTGCAAATAATGGTCATCTTGAAATTGAATTCTCTTGCGAATACAAATGGAATTCTTTGTTGTGAGATATAATGGTTGCAATCTAATATTTAAACAATAAGTATATGTATTTAGAAAAATAACAAAAGATATAAATTAAATAGATGAATCAACCTTTGCCAATAGTCTAGAAAGATCAAATGGTTTGACTTTTAATTTCTCTGCAATTTCTTTCTGCAAATTAGTTGGCAAATCAATATAAGATAGCAATAAATTAGAATCATTCACACATTTCAAAGGAGTATAATAAGATCTGAATTGTTCAATAAATCTTCCAACAGGACTCTTAATTAACTTCTTCATTTCATCTTCCAACAATCTAAACAATCTTGCATCTGTATCAGTCTTTAGAGGGATGAACAATCCGATTTCTCCATCAACAGTTCCATAAACAATTGATGTATTTTCAAAGTCACCCTGTGAGAGACATAAACCTGTAATTGGCGAACCAATGTGATACATATTTGATAATTCAACTTTGTTCTTTGCTCCTGGGAATTTTTCGTTTTCAAATGCGTGGCCAACATCAGAAGGATCGATTTCTGCGTCATCATTAATATCAGGAGGCAATCTCAATATGCAAAACGATCCAAACTTGTCCCCGCAACAAACAGTGCTTCTATCCAAGCCAATTGCTGATAAAGGATGTCTTGGAACCATGTCATCTGCGAAAATTGACAAAATATCTTCTTCTTTGTCGAATTTCACGAAATGGAATGATTCCATTGCATCTCCAGCAATAATTCTTGTTCCAAATGCTTTTAAGTAATTTATACAATGTGGGAAAGCTTTGGAACAACATTTCTTGAGGAGTTTTGTTCTGCCAACCTTCAAAACCATCAATGTTTCTTGAACTCCAAGTATAACGTATTCTCCAAATGGAGCAATCGCTTGAGGGATATCATCGAAGTCAGTAGATTGAACAACTTTAGGAATTCCACTTCCGATATCAAGAAGCAAAACTTGGCCGCCATCGCATCTCTTTGGGAAAAATGACAAATTCTTTGCTACGCAAACAGCAACTAAATTGTAATTTTCCAAGTAACAAGCTGCGGAAACTAACAAATTATCATCTAATTGGAGTGGTTCAGATGATATTAATTCATCATAATTCACAAGTTTCGCTTGTGATTTCCATTTTCCTTTAATTAAATCAGACATCAAAACACAAACAAATTTTGTGTTCGGAATATGAACAATTTGTCTTGGAGTCATGTCCAAATCCAATGTTTGTGTATCAATCAAAATGTTCTTATCAGGTGTGTAAAACAAAACCATGTTGTTTGTTGTCAAACCGATAAAACTGTCGTCAATAAAGAAAGGTGCTTTATATTGGCAGCAAGAAACAAAAGGACTACTTGATAACTGTACTAAACTTAATCCTTTCGTATACCATGGTGATGCACAATTTATCAAAATACTGTTTTGGTTTTTCACTTCACATCTTGAAAACGTAACAGGTGCATTACCAAGGAATTTAAGTGTTGCGTTATCAAGGCTTCCATTTGAATCATCCAGGTTAGTTCTTGTCAACAAACCTTCGTTATGTCCTATATGCAAAATATTTCCAATTCCTGGAACAAAAAGAAACATCATAGAAATAACCGTTTTGTCTAAAATTTGTCTGGAACTAACCGACCACATTTCTGTCGTTTTTGAAATGTTTACAATGTAAACAATTGACAAACCGTCATTAACCGCACTAACCGCTAACCACTCAACATATCTGACACCTGTTTGCGGTTGTGGCAAAGCGATAGAAGTTATTTGGCCGGCTATTTCCATAACCTTATTTGAAGATACTTCCTTTGGTAGGCTTGTTTCATCTGTCTCGAAAAGGACAATCTGGTTGTCATCATAAACGATAGCAATTTGAGAGGGATTTGCGGTTACACATATAATTTTTGATGATTCATCTCTTTTCCAGTCGTGTTTCTCTTTATCATTGATGATTCGCATTCCTTCCGTCGTGATCTGAGCAAGGGAACTCGTGTTGTTGAATGCAGGAAGGAAAAATACATCTATCGTCTTTTTATCGGTTACAAAAAGTGACTCTTTTGAATCTTTTAATTCTCTTGTTTCCTCAAAGAACTCGAATATTCTTGTTGTTGATTCATTTGACACGAAAATGAATGTATCATATTCATTGAGTGGATCTTTCTTAACAGCTTTAACAAATGTGCATCCGCCACCGATTTCTATTGGCTTCAAAACTTTTGTTGGCATTCCTTTTCTTGTTATTTTTAGTGATGATTTATTGAATGATCCATGGATAGAAATGATGTCTCCAAGTTGGCTGCCTCTAAATGAAGGAGCAGTGATCAGTTTCGTCAGTCTGTTCTTGATCTCGTGACCTTCGAAATACTCAATTTTTGTGTTTTCTGTATTTGGAGAAAATGTTTTTTCAACAAAACCTTCTTCGACGTCTTCACAACTTTCTGTGATGTAATAGAAGGAGTTGGAGTATTCTTCTCCGAAGACACAAAGAGTACCTTGGTTCGTAATGGTCAAAGAAGTCGCAATTTGGACAGTATCGAAGTATTGGATCTGAATTTTACATTGTTTCTGGATTTTTGTGAATAAAAGATCACCAAATTGGTTTTGTAAGAGAATAAGCCAGCCATTGCTACTGCAAAAGACTGCTGATGTAATAATTATAGAGTTTTCTTCGTTTTCTCGTTGAGGTAAATCACATTCGTCTTTTAGTTGTCCGTTGTTGTCGAAATACTGCAAGTGGCCGGTGGAACAGACTAAAACACCACCTGGATAGTCAAATAAAGGTCCTGGAACTGAAACTAAAAGAGATGAAGTTGGAGGTAAAGGAATTTCATCATCTTTCTTGCCACAGCGGACTAAGAAGTTGATGTTTGTATCTAATTGATAGAATGTAAGGTATTTCGGTTCTGTTTTAGGGTTAAATGTTCTTTCTGGTTCATCTTGTGGTTGTTTGAAGTGAACTTCGATACAAGCGAATTTAGGAACTTCATAGCCGACATCTAAGGCAACAGTGCTGTAAACAAACGTTTTATTACGTGAATTTTCAAGTGGTGCTGAAACTGTAGGCAAATTTTCGTTGTTCTTTGTAACTGTCCATGCTAATTTGAACTTTTCAATAGCAGATGCAAGTATAGCACGGCCGCAAGGCGATACTGCTAAGTAATAACCTGGTTCCATTCTTCTTAAACCAGTTCTTCCATATGGTAATGATACAATTGCATTGAACTTGCATCCATGTAAATCGAATATAACAATATTAGCCGCATCTGACATAACAACCAAATAATCTTTTTCTGATTTAGGGAGAGAAAGTGTTGCAAGATTGTAAATATGAGAATACATTGGTTCATTAACGATTTGCTTCATAATATCTTGCTCCATTTGTATTTGGGCGTAAATTGAAATATAAGTTCCTAAACTAACAGCAATTTCGTCATAATCAGGGTTAGATGTACCAGTAAATTTACCAACGGTGCAACATTTGACATGTTGTGGAGGTTGAATAACTGAATGGTACAATCTAATCATTTGTTTTCTAAAAAAATAAAAATTGGACATCCAAAAACAAAACAAAATAATAAAAACATTTTAAAATTAAGCAAAGCAATGCTTATAAGGTTAAAATGCAAAAAAAAATTATTTTATAAAGAAAAATTTTTGTATTTGTATAATAAAGCAAATTTTAGTCTGCGCTATAAGAGGATTTACTGCTGTGTCTCGTTCTTCTTGGAGATCTTCAGCTTGCCGAGGAACTTGGAGCGTTCTTCCTTTGTCTGGAAGCGGCCGTGTCCGAACTTGGAAGCTGTATCGATCCACTTGAGGTTGATCTCTTCTGTAGCGATACGGCGTGTGTTGATGTTGATTGTCTTGCGGAGTGTGATGGCGCGCTTGACTGTGCCGACAACGGAGCCCTTGATCATGAGGAAGTCATCCTTGACAAGGCCGTAGTGGGGGAAGCCACCCATTGGGTTGATTGACTTCTTTGTAAGATCGAAGGATGTAGAACCACCCTCGTTGATCTTGCCCTCAACTTCGGCAGCACCGATTCTGTAGATGCGCTTGTTCATCTCTGTACGGTGGTGGCAACCGCGCTGGCCGTAACGAGCGACTGACCAAAGAACACGAGCTGGGTTCCATGGGCCGATGCAAGCAACTTTCCTGCGGCCACGGTGGGTCTTCTTCTGAAGACGCTTTGTGCCGTAACGGTGGATAACACCTTCCCAACCGAAACCTTTGCCAACACCGATTGTGTCGATCTGTTCGCCCTCTGTGAAGACATCGGCGACCTTGATCTCCTTTTCGAGGATGGACTTGGCGTAGTTAAGCTTAGCAGCAACATCGCCACCGTTGATCTGGATTTCGATCATGTGAGCCTTCTTCTGGCCAAGGTGGTTGCCCTTGAGGACCTTCTTGGCGCCTTGCTCGTTGGCATCAACACCGCGTGTTGTTGTCTTGGCGGACTGTGTGTGAGCGATGACACGGATGACTGTAGCCTCCTTCTGGAGTTCTTCGAGTTGCTTCTCGCGCTTCTCAGCAGCCTTGCCGTTGGAGAGGCAGGAGAAAGCCTTGCGAGCCTTGGACTGGTACCAGTTCTTGTAGTAGTTACGCTTGACTTCTTCGTTGACGTAGGAAGCCCAGACTGTTGTGACTGGCTTGAGGCCCTCAACTGTTGGCTTGTAGCCGATGATACCAACAACGAACATTGGTGGTGTCTCGAGGATTGTGACTGGCTCGCAAGCCTCTTTCTTGTGAAGGCGGGAGTTTGGACGGACAACATCACGGAGAACGTGTGTCATACCAGCCTTGTAGCCGATGAAAGCGCAAAGATGTGGCTTCTGGGAAGCATCATCCTTTGGCCATGAGCGTACGCGGCCACGGACGGCATGGGAACGGCCACGTGGGAGGAAACCGAGGGAACCACGGCGTGGTGCATTGAACTTACGATGAGACATTGCAAGAAAAGGTCGAGTCACTTTTTTTCAAAAACACAAACTGAACCATTTTTCTTGTTTCTAATTGATTTAAAACATATTTTATGTGATTTTAAATAATCGCTTAGACAAATCGATATTCATAATAAAATTGATTCATGAAAGATTAATTTTTAGAACTAGAAGCTGATTCTTCACAAGCTGAACTGATTTTATCCATCATCACCAGATATATATCATCTAGAAAGGATAGAGAGATTGGGACAAAGTTGCAATTCGGCACTTTTTGTAAAAAAAATGGGGTCATACTCATAATGAATAGAGACTTATAGCCAAGTCTTGATATCATGCAGGGAGAATATACATAGATAAGCAATTATATTTTATAGTAGTAGTATTCAGAAATTCTTACAATTTACAATACAATTTTCAAAAATGGATAAAGACTTATAGCCAAGTCTTGATATCATGCAGGGAGAATATACATAGATAAGCAATTATATTTTATAGTAGTAGTATTCAGAAATTCTTACAATTTACAATACAATTTTCAAAAATGGATAAAGACTAATAGCCAAGTCTTGATATCATGCAGGGAGAATATACATAGATAAGCAATTATATTTTATAGTAGTAGTATTCAGAAATTCTTACAATTTACAATACAATTTTCAAAAATGGATAAAGACTAATAGCCAAGTCTTGATATCATGCAGGGAGAATATACATAGATAAGCAATTATATTTTATAGTAGTAGTATTCAGAAATTCTTACAATTTACAATACAATTTTCAAAAATGGATAAAGACTAATAGCCAAGTCTTGATATCATGCAGGGAGAATATACATAGATAAGCAATTATATTTTATAGTAGTAGTATTCAGAAATTCTTACAATTTACAATACAATTTTCAAAAATGGATAAAGACTAATAGCCAAGTCTTGATATCATGCAGGGAGAATATACATAGATAAGCAATTATATTTTATAGTAGTAGTATTCAGAAATTCTTACAATTTACAATACAATTTTCAAAAATGGATAAAGACTAATAGCCAAGTCTTGATATCATGCAGGGAGAATATACATAGATAAGCAATTATATTTTATAGTAGTAGTATTCAGAAATTCTTACAATTTACAATACAATTTTCAAAAATGGATAAAGACTTATAGCCAAGTCTTGATATCATGCACGGAGACTCTCTACAAATACAAAAATTGATTATCATAAGGAAATACAAATTTATCAATTTTCATGTGAAAATTACATAAATTTGTTCTCCAATAAATAGCAATAATACTTTGAATATTATATTAAGTAATATAGCTTCAGGTAAATAAGCTTACACTTCAAAAATATACTGTTTATTCATTAATTTTAAAAAAAGTCCAAATTATCTAATCTTGCTTACTCTTCCTTTAAACTTCTTTGTGCCAAATTTAATATTGCCTTCAAAGATGGAATAAGGACATTAGGTTCAATCCTTCGGCTTTCGACAATTTCCAAAATGTGTTGAATTAATTTCAAACATTCATCGTGTTTTGAAGCTCTTTGCTCAACAATCTGATTACCTGCCCTTGTAAGAATTCTTACTGCTCTTTCTTCATTCAAAACATTAGCGACTTGAACCTTAATAATCGCATTTGGAATCACAACAGTGATGAGAGTTATGGCGATGTCATCAATGCGCTCATTTTTCTTACACAAGAAAAATGTTTGCTTTAATTGATGAAAGTGTGATTCCGCAATGTTATTCGTAGAATCACCTTCTCCACGATATAACATCATCCAATGTTCTTTGGTTCTTCTCCATTGTTTATCGAAATACTTCAAAGCGCGCGGTTCTTCTTCTTCTAACATTGTTGTCAAGAACTCATATGTTTCATCAGACTCTTCAGCCAGCTTTTCTGCATTCGTTGCATCTGCACGTAATGTCAAAAAGTCCATTGCTAAATAGAAGTTCTCAAAATTCTGTGGATTGTCAAAATAGCTTCCAACTTTTGCACATGCGCGTAAAACATGCACAGCGCACCAACTGAGCTGCGCAAGAGGAAATCCGTCCTCAATTGCGCGAGCAATGTTTAGCGCACAGTCAGCGCTCCAATGCTGTGGATCCAGGTGCGCAAACTCACAGAATTTCACCAAACATTCTTGAATTTTTTCAGATGTCTGAGGGTTCACTAAAAAATAGCAAAAGGGGAAAATTGTGTTTTGACTTGTTTTCATTGTTACTGCAAACAATTGGATCTTTCCTTTAATTAAAGAATGAGTGGAATCGACGTGGAGAGGGTTATCAATGCTATGCACCAATTCTTTTGCAGCAAAAGGTGCATATATGATTGTAAACTCGGAAAAATCTTCATTGTAATCAAATTGAACGAGATCATCTGGGCACTCTTCCTGTAAATTATTCAAAAATGCTTCCAAAGAAGTGTAAGGATCGTTTGATAATCTTTGTGCAAAGTTAGTATGACTAAGTCGTGTACTGAGGCACTGCGCGCCTCCGTACACCACTTAGCGGTTTTGACACTTTACAAAAACGTTAACGTATATTTTACAACACAAACGACAACACTAACTTAACCTTAAATATTTACAAAGCCACTAACGACTTCACTAATGTTTTCACAAACAACTTCACTAATGTTTTCACAAACGACTTCACTAATGTTTTCACAAACGACTTCACTAATGTAAAAATAAACGTTCTCACTTACAAAAGTATTGCAACTCCTCCCATTGCTGTGCTTCACATAACAGCTCATAATCTTCTGACTCACTTTCTTCTTCATATATGTCAAAGTCACTGTCAAAATGAATGTTAGTAAGTTTTGACAAAGCTAATGAAACACGTTTACCGTTTGTATCTATTGCTTGTATAAACTTTCCATTCTTCATTCCTTCATAAATAGTCATGTGATTTTATCCCAAGCATATGGGGATTCTAAATTTTTGTCCCTATCGTTATCCCAATTGAATTTTTTTGGAATTTAAAATTTTTTTTTCTCCATGTAAACTTAAATTTTAATTTTTACCACTAAAATGCAATATTTCAACAAATTAATGAGTAATAATATTTTAATTTATAATAAATATTATAAATCTCCTCAATTTAATGTAATTATTGTATTAATTTTTGTTGAAAATATAAAATCTTCAAGTAAATGATGTGAATTTAATATTTTTAGAATGTTGTTTAATTGTACTATATTATGCATGTAAAATTTTGTTACAATACATTTTATATGGGATCCCCATTGCCCAATTGAGAGAAAATTGAGAGGTGGGATTGGGCTAGCCCAATTCAAAATATCCCAGGTGGAAATAAAAAAATTAACAATTCAACATAAAAAAGCATCTTAAATAATAATGATAAAAAGAAATTTTGTATGAATTTCAATCAAATTTGTTTTTATTCAACTTAAGAAATCACTTCATTAATGAAAGAAGTCGGGTTCACAACATATCCCGATCTTGAAACGAAACAACATGTTTTTTTGATGCCCTAAACGGGGGGTCGCCAGCAAAAAAAAAGATGTCAAAATTTATCCCAAAAATTTAAAAAAAATCGAAGAAAGTGCATCCCAGGG